TGAAGAGAGCAGGCTTTCAAAAGGAGGTTGGAGGATCCATTCATTTGGCTCGTGGATTTAAATTGCATATTTGGATTTCTAAAAATGAGATGCAAAACTGTTGGATCCCAGCATGCCTCCTTCTGGAACAGTTTGATTTATGCACATTTGGAGCGCAGGGAACATTGTGTCAGGCCCGATGGGGGAAAGTTAGCTCCTTCTGAAATGATTCTGTGTTTCTCCGTTGGACCCCGGGCTCTCTGTGTTCTCCAGCAGAAAGATGGCAGCAGCAGGAGGAGGGAAACGATGCTGTGCTGGCTGCTGGTGGCATTCAGACCAGGGGTGAACTGCACATACCCCGGCTGCCCAGACCCTCCCCCAGTTTGGAGGAGGCAGGGGATGGCTGATGGCTGAGGGCTGGGCAGATGAGCAAGCGCCTGTGCCTGGAAACCTGGGTACTCCTTTTAGGGTGAACGGTCGTGATGGAGAAGCGACCTTTTAGAGACTGCAAGACTGGAACTGTGTTAGGATGACTCGGTTGAGATTATCTGTGGGTGGAAGAACAGTCTGCTGGATTTGGGTTGGCTGGCGAGATTTTTATTAGCGTCTTTCACACACTGGTGTCAGATGCAGGACTGGCACACGGTGGAGGGTGTCAGCTCGCAGGAGGATGTGCGAGTCGCGGTTTTGGTGGGGGCTGGATGTCATTCCCCTCCCCCACACTGCACTGGAACGTGGTTGCCCCATTTGTCGGAATGACAGGAAGATACAGAAAAGCGTTTAGAATGCATCAAGAGTGAAGGTACCGCACGGTTCTTCTTCCTACCTCGGCTCGGTTAGGATGCTCTGCAGTGTTTGTGTTTCTACTCCTGTTGGCTCATGTTAGCTTGTCAGCCTTCACAGCCCAGAGCACTAGCAAATGTGTGTTACTACTCTGCTGTTTTGAAGCTTGCTGTAGGAGAACCGGGTGAAAAAGAAAGCCTTGAATGGAACCCGAGAAGTCCTCACCCTCAGGAGCAGTGTTAGCAGGAAAGTACAGGAGTCGACTTCCAAGATGTGCTCTTCTGCGTTTTTTTTTTGTTTGTTTGTTTGTTTGGTGTCTTTAATTCTGGGTGTGTGTATTTGCCATGGGAGAAGTGTTCAGAGCTGGCTTCATCTCCCTTAGTTGTATTTTAAGTAAAATTACTAGTGATCAGTCATCAGGGTCAGCACAGAGCAAAACCACCCAGGTGATATTTGGAAATCTCCTTCTTGTGTCTTCATCCTGAAACTACAGTAACAAGGGTTCTTAGGGGTGTGGATTTTAAAGAAAAGAAATTATGGTTGAATCATGAATAAAGATGGCAGGTGGACTAGAAAGGTCTGTGTCATGAAGTTCAGCGTGTGAATGAATGTGTCCTCTTGTACAAAACCCATCAAGTGTGAATATGTCTGCTCACTTCAGCCACAAAGTTATCCCTTTCTGCCTCGCTGGAGGAGGAGTGGCTTGGAGTGCCGCTGTCACAGCAGGTGAGCGAGAGCCCTCTAGCGGACAGCAGAGTGGGAAGGTGCAGAGGAGTCCCAGCGAGTCGGACTGCGTGGTGTGAACACCGTGTGGCTTGTCGCTTCCTCCTGCTGATACGGAGGATGTTCATTAACAAATCTCACTGGAGATGGTCAAGAACTTACAGCGGGGTACGCTAAGTAGGTTCTAAAATTAAAGTAATTATTGCAAGGGCATGTGTGTTCTTAGCCCTCAGTGTGAAGCCTGCGTTGGCAAGTTCAGGGAGCTGTCCATTTTGGTAAGCAGTAGTAGTAAGGAGAGTGAGGGATAGACTTTTCTCATCATTCCACATCTTCTAAGAGCAGCACGCACCACCCTAACCCTCGCCTTCCCCAGGGCTGTCGTGTGAGTTGGGCTGTGAATGTTGTTCTAGTTGGTGCTGTTTCTCACACACCCAGGGGGAACATTACGAAGCACTCCGTCTAGAATGCCTGACCACACCTGAGACGGTAATGCCAAATTTACACAAAGATGTTCAGACCCTCTTGGTTGCAGTCGTGAGAGTCCCATTGATCCGTTATTCCTTCTCACTGATTAATTTAGAAGTAAAATGAGAAGGGGGTTTTAAACTTAAAACTTTGCAGTTTAACTTGTGGTTTATGTGAGTTTTTAAAAAACACATGTTGTGTAGGAAATATTCTACTACATATGCACACATAGATGTATATTCTTCAAAATAAACACATACTGGGCCAGCACTGTGGCACAGTGGGTTGAGCTGTGGCTAGCAATGTTCATATGGGCTAGTTCAAGTCCTGGCTGCTCCACTTCTGATCCAACTTCCTGTCTCTGTACCTGGGAGAGCAGCAGCAGATGGCCAAGTAGTTCGGCCCTTGCTACCCTGTGGGAGATCAGGACAGAGTTCCAGGCTCTTGGTTTTGGCCTGGCCCAGCCATGGCTGTTGTGGCCATTTGGGGCATGAACCAATGGATGGAAGATTGTGTGTGTGTATGTGTGTGTGCATGTGTGTGTGTGTGTGTTGCTCTCTCTCTGTGGTTCTGCTTCTCAAATAAATAAAGTTCAAAATAAATACATACATATACCCAAGAGTAGTTCAAAAATTTCATGGAGAGTAGAATTAAAAGAGTATCTTGATGCAAAAAGAATTGTTGAAAAACATATCGTTTTTTCCTAACATCTGTTTTTCATGAGCTTTTGGAATTTCCTCAAATGGATCATAGAAATGCATATTGAAAAAAACTGCATGGATTTCAAAAAATTTTAAACCAAGATAGGCTGATGTTTTAAGTCCATTTTCCATGAACTTTTTGAAGTGTGTGTGTGTGTGTGTGTGTGTATGTGTTCCCAACGGAGTAGAGAAAGGACTCTTTGCTCCCAGCCCCTGGCTGACCATCCACAAGCCCTCAGAAGTGTAGAGATAGCCCGTGTCCAGGCAACAAGGACCAGCCTCTAAAGCATGTGTGTCTTGTGCGGTGGCGTCAGCCCGCGACAATGTAGACTGGGCACGTTTCAGCCAAAACCGCAGTTGCCCTTGTTTCTATCCCGATGCTGGGGAGCCCAAGACTTCCTAGTCAGTGAACCTAGTGTGTCCTTTTCTGAACAGAAAGCAGCTGTAGCCAGAGTCTGGAGAGCCCGATTATCCTCCAGGGACTGTCCCTCGGAACCTGCTTGGCCTGGGGCAGGTGGCTGCCCTGCACTCTTGGTGGCCTCCCCTCTGTGGACTCACGAGGATGCCGAGTCCCGTGCCACATCCTGGTGGCCGAGAGCAGCGCAAGGTGTCCTGACCCCTGACTCAGGCTCTTCCATTCACTCAGTGCGCGTTCACTTGTTTGTGCATCCAGAAGAAGGTCCTGAGTCTGTCTCGGGCCGCGGCCGCTCTGCTCCTGGGGATGGATTGGTGAACACAACGAACAGGATCTCGTCCCTGATAAGGAATCCTGTGTGTGACGAACACTAATCACAGAACCACAGTGAGATAGAGACTACATCCTGCGGTAATCATGATGGGGGGCGCTGAGAAAGAACGGTGGGTGGCCTCACTTAGATTTGGGGCCAGAAAAGGTTTTTAAAGTGCTGATGTTTACACTGAAACCCAGACGTGTGATACTCCATGTGCGGTGTAGGGGCTAAGATGGGTTTTGTACGTTGAGCAATGTGTCACCATCTCCAAGCTCGCACAGTATAAACCTCCCAACCACAGAGACTCCTCCTGGCCATGTGTTCCAGCACAACCCTTCCCTTCCCAGAGGTTCCTCTGTGACCCTGGGTTCTCCGTAACCCAGGGGAGCCCCGGTCGTGTCAGCTTAAGCTACGGTGGAAGTGAAGCAGCTCAACCTCAGGGCAACTCGCCAAGTTAACACAACCGTCGGTCTCGCTAATATATTTACGCAGCCTTTTAGCAATGCAGAGGACACTAGTGCTAAAAGTAGCACGTGCCCTTAACAGCTGCAGTGTTGCTGTGTAAAATGCACTTGGCCTTTGGGCTGGAGCCCCACCAAGTGACCTCACACAGATCCCTTCAAGTCTTATTTTTATTTATTTATTACCTAAGAGAAAGAGGCAGACAGACCTCCCATCCACTGCTTCATCCCAGATGACCACAACAACCAGGACTGGGCCAGGGCTAAAGCTGGGAGCCAGGACCTCAGCCCAGGTCTCCTGCGTGAGTGGAACCTAATCACGTGAGCCATTGCTGCTGCCCTAGAAGGAAGCTAGCTAGAGACAGGAGCAGAGCTGGGTATGCAGAACATGGGCACCTTGACCGCCAGGCCAAATACCCACGCCCAGACAGGTGATTGCAGGGTCTCTTTTCCCATCTATAAGAAGAGGGCAAGCTCACTTTGAGCCCGCAAGGTGGTGTGATGATTAGTGTGGCATGCTCAGGCTCCCTGGGATCGCTTCCCACTTCTCCCCGGCTTCCAGACCCCCTTGGTGCTCCCCAGTCCTCCCCTCTGCCCCTGGTCACATGAAAGCCACCATCTCTCACTCACCTCCTGGAGCCTGAGTCTGCTGCAGCTTGGAGAGGATGGGCCCATGGTGGGCCCCTGGGTCCCCCCAGCAGGGAAGATGTGGGTCCTGGGGCCTGAGTGAGACTTCAGTACTGCTCAGAATAGGCCAAGACAAGGCAGGGCACGGGAGGGAGCAGCTGCCATCATCGAGGTGCAGGTCAGCTAAGGATTTGGTCTGGAGGGGAGCAGGGGCCAAGTGCACAGGAAGGAAGCCCAGGTTGTGATAGGGCTTCCCCAGGAGGGGGGGAAGACGGGCTGTCAATCAGCGCTCCTGGAGACCTGCAGAATCGGGAACACAGGATAGGCACTTGGGCCTGGAAGAAAGAGGCCATTCTAGGTCCCCAGGGAGACAGAGAGGTATGAGCAGGGCTGAGGGCTGGCTCCACCGAGACCTGCAGGTGAGCACACCTGTGGAATGATCGGACCGGGAAGGGAGAGGCGCAGGAGAGACACCTGCAGCAGACAGTGCGCCGCGCGGTTGTGGTCACTCCCCTCTTCTCCCCCTACAGATCAGCTCAGATGCTGCTGGCTTGAGAAAGGCAGACCCGCGAGGTCGGAGCGCGCTGCTGGCTGACATCCAACAAGGGACTCGCCTGCGGAAGGTCACGCAAATCAACGACCGAAGTGCTCCACAGATCGAGAGTGAGTGAGCGCGAGCCGGGGCAGGCCGGGCCCGGGACAGCCCAGCTGGGCGAGGAAATTGCCCCCCCCCACCCCCAAGGGCTGCAGAGGCTCTCTTCCATCACTTTGAAGATGAAAAAAGGAAAAAGAGGCCGGCGCCGCTGCTCACTAGGCTAATCCTCCGCCTTGCGGCGCCGGCACACCGGGTTCTAGTCCCGGTCGGGGCGCCGGATTCTGTCCCGGTTGCCCCTCTTCCAGGCCAGCTCTCTGCTGTGGCCCGGGAAGGCAGTGGAGGATGGCCCAAGTGCTTGGGCCCTGCACCCCATGGGAGACCAGGAAAAGTGAAAAAAAAGGAAAAAGGAAAAAGAACTCCACAGTAGGGTAACTGTTCTTTATTGTGGCAGCTCACTGTTCGCATCACTTAAAGTATTCCATTCAGGGGCATTTTAGCGCCTTGACAGTGTTGCAACCGTCACCTCTGTCTAGTTCCAGAATATTCCTGTCACCCCCGAAGGAAAGCCCATACCCGTTAGAGTGACTCCCCAGTCCCTTCAGAGCCCGCCCCTGGTGCCAGCTGCTCTGCTGTCCACGGAGTTGCCCTTCTGGACAATTCATAGAAATGGAGCCACGGAATACAGTGGTCCCGCGCTTCCTCCGCGGCGCAGCGCACAGCATCCCTCACTCCTTCTCACTGATGAACACTGTTTCACTCAAGGACAAACCACATTGTATGCATCCTTTGTGGGTAACATTTGAAGTTCACTTACAATGGCCCACGTACATGGGTACACGGGTCCCTACCATGGGAGCCCTGGCTGCAGTTCCCAGCCCTGCTGATTCAGGCATTTGGAGAATGAACCAGTGGATGGAATTTCAGTCTCTCTCTCTCTCTCTCTGTGTGTCACTTTGCCTTTCAAATGATAAATAAGTTAATTAATTTTAAAAAACTTTCATATCCCCTACCCTTTGTCAACGTAGTCCTCAAATTCAGGGGTTGAAAATGAAAGTTTCAACCTAAAAAAAATGCCAGATTTTTGTTCTGTTTTTCACAAAGATGATTTATTCCAAATTGTGTCTCATGGGCTCAGATAAATGCAGCTGTCTGTCTCCTGGAGTGTGATAGAGAAGGAGGACTCCTGCCGTGGGTAGATGACCCCTGTTGCTTTCTGGCTCTGCTACAGACAAGGCACAGAACCACCTTATATAATAATACCCAGAGTAATCCAGCCACTCTTTACCCACCAGTGGACACTCTGTCTCTGAAGTTCAATTTGCTCATCTGCAAGATGGAGAGATGATAATAACACTCTCTTTTTGGCCCAGATTGTTGAAAGCTTAATTGTTTGTGAGAAAAATTTCATGGTGAACTGTTTAGAAGGATAAAGGAGTGTTCAGGTTGGAGTTATGAAATAAAACACAAATTTTAATTTTTCTTCAAAATGTATGCAGAACTATTTTAAAATGTAAGGTAGGATTATGCCTGCATGTGATTTGCAGTGACCTGCATCACGGTAATTCTCAAAGATAGTCCCCAAAATATAATTGTATCTCATCTCTTGTAATTATATATATTTATGCACAAAGATAAATACATTTTAAAAGAAATATTTTAAGCATTGATCATAATAAGTGTCTGGTTAGATACACTATCTAAACCAATTAACAGGTAAATCCATTTTATTTTATTTATTTGACAGAGTTACAGAGAGAGACAGAGAGAAAGGTCTTCCTTCCATTGGTTTACTCCCCAAATGGCCGCTAAGGCCGGAACTGCATCAATCTGAAGCCAGGAGCCAGGCACTTCTTCCCGGTCTCCCATGCGGGTGCAGGGCCCAAGCACTTGGGCCATCCTCCACTGCCCTCCTGGGCCACAGCAGAGAGCTGGACTGGAAGAGGAGCAACTGGGACTAGAACCGGTGCCCATATCGGATGCTGGCGCTGCAGGCAGAGGATTAACCTGGTGCACCCCGGCACCGGCCCCAGATACATCCGTTTTATTAGAATACCTCCTTCCTTATCATTTCACTGAGAAAGTAATAAATGAGGGTACTTCAAAAAGTTCCTAGAACATGGAATTAAAAGATGTTTATTATAGTGGAAAAAGCATTTGAAATATATTCACACAAGATATCTTCAAAAATGTCATGAAAACATGTATTTAAAATTATACAGGGGTTTCAACATTTTTGCACCAAAATAAGCATACCTTTTAATTTCATTTCTACTGACTTTTTGAAGTATCCTTATATAATATTTTTCAAAGATATTTTATTTGAAAGAGTTACAGAAAGAGAGAAAGAGAGGTCTTTATCAGTTGTTTCGCTCCCCAAATAGCTGCAATGGCCGGAGATGCGTCAAACCAAAACCAGGAGCCAGGAGCTTCTTCCCGGTCTCCCATGTGGGTGCAGGGGCCCAAGGACTTGGGCCATCCTCCACTGCTTTCCCAGGCCATAGCAGAGAGCTGGATGGGAAGTGGAGCAGCTGGGACTCGAACCAGGGCCCATATGGGATACCAGCACTGCAGGCGTTGGCTTTACCCACTACGCTACAGCACCGGCCACCTTATATTATAATACCCAGAGTAATCCAGCCACTCTTCACCCACCAGTGGACACTCTGTCCTTAATCTGTGCAAATTCACTCCAAGCTGTGACCGGTTTCTGGGAGGACTGAATTCTGTAGTCAGTAGTCACATCTGGGAGGCTCTCCCCAGGGCCCGTGTGCTGTCCACGCCACAGGAAGGGTGGGGGGAGGGGGCAGCATGAGGGTCTCAAGGCCTGAGAGCTGGGGAGACAGCAAGGGAAATGCCCAAGCAACGCTCACTGCAGGCCTCCACTTGCTGCTTGTGCGCCTGGTCCACTCACTGGGGCCTGCACTTGCAGTTCTGACCTGCACTCTGTGGACAAGAAGTTAGAGTGACTGAATTAAATCAGTGGGTTTTCTTGGTCTCAAGTTGAAAATAGGACCAACTCCATGCCTACTGTGTTTGGGTTTTCAAATGCACCAGTGACTGTCAGCTCCCCTAATGTCATCTACAAAGTGACCCTTTTATTGGTTGCTCTTCAGGGTGATTGGCCACAAAAAGTCAGTTCTTTGATCGGACTGGAGAGGGCGCCAGACAGGCCTAGGGAGGGGAACCTGCTGGGTGTCAGGCAGAGGGGCCCTGGAGAAGGCGCTGTGTGGAAGGGTGACCTGGAAGGGGGGGAAGAGGAGGAAGGTGCCAAGGCCAGCGTTGGGAGAGAGCCCAAGTGAGAACGGGCAGCTCTGCACTGTGCACAGACCTCAGCTCTTTGTTTCTTCTCTCTAAAGGCCCTAAAGGAACCAACAAGGAGGGAGGAGTTGCTGCGAACTCCCGCGGCGGCAGCACACCCCCGGCTCTGGGAGACCTGTTTGCTGGGGGCTTTCCTGTGTTGCGACCGGCAGGCCAGAGGGATGCGGCAGGTAAGGAAGGGTTCAGACCAGCTGCCTTGTGTTTTTCACCTTGACGTGTAGAACCTGCCCGGAGTAACACATCTTAGTGAACAGTCATGGAGTAGGAGATCATGGATTTGGGAGCTTAAGCATGGGAAGTTTCCAAGGCACAGTCATTATCCTGTTGAAGTGATGCCACTGTCATTGTTGAAGAATGGCTTGCTGTGGTGTGTAGTTCCTAGCTGCAACATGAGGGGGATTCAGAAGGCAAAGTACAGGCGGCCAGTGCAACCATGATGGAAGGTCATATGGCTTCGCTGGAGACTCACTGACAACGTGTGAGTTGTAATGGTTGTCGATCCCCGTATGATCCATCAGGTGTTGCTCTATAACAAAACACCCTAAAACTTAAGAGCCTTAAACAACCATTGATTTCACCTGCAGTGCTGTGACCTAGCATCTTAGGGTCGTCTCTGCTGGGCCCCTCTAGTGTCTGCATACAGCAGCAGGTTAGGCAGGTGGCTTTGTGAATCTAATTTTTCTCATATTTCTGCTATCTCTGGGGACTCAGCTGGAACAACTGGCCCAGCTCACTTTTTTTAAAAAAGGATTTATTTATTTTGAAACAGGTACAGAGAAAGAGGGAGAGACAGATTTTCCATCTGCTGGTTCACTACCCAGATGGCCACAATAGCCAGCACTGGCCTAACCTGAAGTCAGAAGCCAGGAGCTTCTGGGCCTCTACCTGTGTACAGGGGCCCAAGCATTTGAAATTGTCTTCTGCTGCTTTCCAAGGTGCATTAGTGTGGAACTGGATCATAAGTGGAGCAGACGGGACTCGAATTGGTGCCCATATGGGATGCCAGCATTGCAGGCAGTGACTTAACCCACTATGCCACAGCGCAGGTCCCAGGTCCCCCCTCTCCCTTGCTGACTCACTTCTGATCCATGTGGACTCTAGCAGCCTCTCCAGGACTGGTGTTCATGGCATTGGCAGAGTTCTAAGAGAGAAGACGAGTGTATCAAGTCCTTGAGAGCATTACTGGGAGGCGCCTGAGCAGGGTAGGAGGTCTGACTTCCTACCACATCCTCTTGTCCAGAGCAAGTCAGAAGGTCAGGCAGAGACGAGGACAGGGAAACAGCCGGACCTCTTGGTGAGAAGAGCTGCCAGCCCACATTGAGATGGCAGTCAGGCAGGACCGGGCAGTGGCCATTTTTCACTGTTTTGTGTGTTAGTGGGCATTGGTATTTTGAAAGTATTACATTAAAATTGGGCCAATACATATTTATGTGAGCAAAACAAAAAGTGCTTTCCCTGTCACTGTGCTCTTTAATCAAGCTGAATAGACTCCAGGGAGGTGACTCGCCCAGGGGCTATCAAGCCCCTGGCACACCCGGGTCTTCTACCTTGAGACTTTTATTGTTTCTTCTTTTTTTAGAGAATCTGATTAGGCAGTAAATCTTTCCATTTTTATTTACTTCTTTGTGAGGCAGAGAGTGTTGCCACCTCCCAGCCTTGTCCCCAAAATGCCCACAATAGCCTCAGATCCGAGACCACAGCTGGGAGCAGGGAACCTAATCCAGTCTTCTACGTGGGTGGCAGGAGCCTTCGCCTTGGCTGGGGCCCCTCTATGCCTGTCCTCAGTTCCTTTCCCTCCTGGGGTCTCACCCTCCTCCTCGGGCAGGCACACACAAATACTGAGCAAGGCATAGGGCTGCCCTTGCTTCTGCGGTTTTCCCACATTTCTCATTTGGTCGGCTGCTTAGTGCTGCTTAGCAGATCCTGGGCTCTGGACTGCCCCGCTTGAAGGGTCTAGGGGTCTTGGATACACCATATCTAGACTCTGTTCTATTTTCCAAGCTTATTATTCCTTTAAATTTTGCTCAGCAGCTGGGAGCTGCCTGGGTTCTCTGTCACCGGCTCTGTGTATTATAACAACAGGTTTGGGACCTTGCAGGCAGGAAGTCCTAGCCTGAGCCCTGCCTTAGACATCTTATAAAAAGTCCAACATTTGGGTCTGGCATTGTGGCAAAAGCGGGTTAAGCCGCTGCCTCCAATGCCAGCTTCCCAGATGGGTGCTGGTTTGTATCTTGGCTGTTCCATTTCCCATCCAGCGCTCTGCTAATGGCCTGGGGAAAGCAGCAAAGGATGTCCCATGGCTCTGAGCCCCTGCCACCCATGTAGGAGACCTGCAAGAAGCTCCTTCTTCTCTAGCCTGGCCCAACCCTGGCCATTGCAGCCCTCTGGGAAGTTAACCAGCAGATGGAAGATCTCTCTCCCTCCCCCCCTCCCCTCCCCTCCCCTTTCTTTTTTCTTCTCTTTCTCTCTCTCTCTGCAACTTTGACTTTCAAATAAATGAATAAATTTAAGAAAAAAGAAATCTAACATCGGAGATGCTCTCCCTGGTCGGCCAGCTCTTCTGGCAGCGCCTGCGCCCAAGCCCCAGGGGGTGAAGTCTGCAAGGTGGATGCAGTGCTGCAAAGACGCAAGTTCTCCTGGAATCAGCACAGAGAGGAACAGTGGTGTCGCCACGTGCCTGAGAGCGGCCGTCCCCCGGGGTGTTCTCCACGTGACTGCCCCAGCAGAGCCAAGGGCACCCGTTCGGAAGTCAGACCCTGTGGTGCTGCCTGCCGGCTTCAGTTCCCAGTGACACCTGCCCTGTGCCTTGCTTGGACTGGCCTGACTTGTTTTGTTTTAAATGGAAGCTTTAAAAAAAAAAAGATTTATTTATTTATTTGAAAGTCAGAATTACACAGAGAAAGGAGAGGCAGAGAGAGAGAGAGAGAGAGAGAGAGGTCTTCCATCTGCTGGTTCACTCCCCAGATGGCCTCAATGGCCAAAGCTGCGCCGATCCGGAGCCAGGAGCCAGGAGCTTCCTCCTAGTCTCCCATGTGGGTGCAGGGGTCTGGCCTTTTTTTTTTTTTTACTTTTATTTAGTAGATATAAATTTCCAAAGTACAGTTTATGGATTACAATGGCTTTTTCCCCCCCATAACTTCCCTCCCACCCACAACCCTCCCATCTCCTGCTCCCTCTCCCATTCCATTCACATCAAGATTCATTTTCGATTATCTTTATATGCCTGACTTTTGACATCAAGTTCTTTGAGGATCTGATTTAGCACTTGAATGGGCAAACACACTGGAGATGGATGTGCTAAAGAGCTCAGAGGCACCCCCCACACCCCCCACACATAGACACCCCCAATCCTCACCCCCACCCCCGGCATAGGCTAAAGATTATCATCTGAAACAAAAGCACTGTTTCCTGTGCCAGGACACCTAGGTAGCCGTAGGTGTGAGAAGCAGCAGTTTTCTCAAGTGTTCTCCACATGTGGTCATGGTCATGGTAATTATAAAATACAGGGGTGCTGAACTAGGGCAAAATATATTCTCCAGAATTCCTTTTAGGGAGAGAACTATGCTTGGAAGAAATAATTTAATATGCCTCCCGAGTGGACAGTGATACACTGGACATGTGCAGGCAGACTGCAGAATTCCTATGCAGCGAACAGGGAGAGGAACTTCTTTCTCCTTAGAGAGCGGCAGAACGGGAAGGGTTGGGGCAGGATGGTACAAGGCTGTGCTCACCCGCCACCCCAGCCTGCCATCAAGTCCCCGGAACACGGATGCTCAGCGCGAGAAACCAAGGGAGGCGCTGAATTTCAAGCACAGGCAGATATGGGGAGGGGTCTAGGTGTATGGTGAGAAGCCAGGGACCAGGACGCAGCAGCCCCTTGGAAATTAGCCCAGGTCTTTGGGAAAGCAGACTCTGAACTTCCAGGGGCGTGGAATTGGGAGGTTCAAGGTCATTGGATGGACTGTCCCATGCAGGTGTCTCCCTACTGACCGATCTCATATAGTCAGGGCATCTTGCATCTTCTGTGTTCAGTACAGAAATCAAGTCTTGGCTCGCAAAATACCAGGAGTGAGGAAGCCGCCCTGGCCGGCACTTCGAGTGGGTCCACCCGAGGCCCCAGCTAGAATTCCAGGGCTGGTCTACCCAGCGGCAGCTGAAGGCAGAAGAATGTTGTCCCTTGAGATGCGGAAGGGCAAGGAGGCCAGGCAGCGCCAGGACCTCTTCCGGGGCCCTGGCAGATGCCAGCTCAGGCAGCACGGACCAGGAAGGCCGGTGGCCGACTGAGCTGCTGGGCTGGCCCTTCCGACCTCGGCCTGGAGCCTGGACTCGCTCCATGCTCCATCGCCCAGCTAACCTCACTGTGTTTCCCTTCCAGGTGGCAAGGCGGGGCAGGCCCCTGGCTCCCGAGCACCGTCTCCCAGGCTGCCCATCAAAACCATCAGCGGCCCGCTCAACCCCCCAGCCTCCCCCAGGCTCGGCATCGCCTCTGAGGCGCATGGCACTGCCAGGACAGTCCCTCCTCGCCCCACCGTGCCCGCCCCGCCGCCCCCCACCCCGCCCCCACCTCCCCCGCCCTTACCCCCTCCGCTGCCCCCTGCCTCCCCAGTCAAGGCCCTGCCAGTGTCCCCAGCAGGGCCGCCCCCCAAAGGGAATGTCTCGGGGGTCGCGCCCCCGGCCCCTTGCGCGCCTCCACCCCCGCCTCCTCCCCCGCCCCCGCTACCCCCAACCTCTGGACCCAGTGACAAGACCGTGAAGCCTCAGCTAGCCCCTCTGCCCCTGCCACCCCTACCGCCCCCGCTCCCTCTCCTCCCACCTTGTGGGTATCCGGGTCTCCACCCAGAGCCTGCCAGCCCCGCCCAGGATGCGCGGGAACCTGCGGGGCCACCGCCCCCGCCCCCCCTGTATGCCGTGTGCTCACCGAGGGCACCTGCACCCCCTCCGCCCCCTCTGCCAGGCGCAAATCGCGGCAACGAAACCCCACCCCCGCTGCCCCCCAAGTCCCCCGGCTGCCCCAGCCCGTTGCCAAAGGCCGGCGCTCCTCCGGGCTCGCAGCCCTTCCTGCAGAAGAAGAGGCCCGGCCGGGGCCCAGGTGAGCCGCCCCGTGGGCTCGCGGCACTGCCAGGTGGTGGGACCCGTGCGCTGGAGGTTTCAGAAATAGGATGGGGGCAGGGAGGCTGGGAGCCTTGGAGCCTTGTCTCATGCCCTGCGGATCCTGGCCCTGCAGAGCTGCGCAAGTCTGGCGCTTGGCCTCCCCACAGGGTGGAGCGAGCTCTTGGCCTGTGAGGTGCTGGGAGCTGGGCCTGCCTGGCCACTGAGCCAGAGAGGCCAGCTTGATTCTCACCATCGGTCTTCCAGCTCGGCGGGGTGCCCAAGCAGGTCTCCTGCGGGTCAGCCCGCCTGACTCGTCCCCAGTTCTCGGTTGGTTGGATTTGCTAATGTGAATCCAACTAAGGGCCTGTGTTTGGCGCCAAATAGTTCCAACACAGTTGACTTAAGTGCCCCAGCCCCAGGACTGAGGGCCCAGGTCTCTAGAATGGTGAGGCTTCATCCACTGTAGCCCTTTGTTGGGAAAGTACCCCACATGGCCACATGCACCTGCAGCCACACAACATCCATGCATGTAAACACACTCTACACACACACTCGCCTATAAACACACATCACACACACCCACACTCAGAAATGCATGCCCCACGCACAGATCCAGATGCCCAAGCACCTTTATAAATACCCATAGGTACACACGTAAACAGATGTCCACACACGCAAACACACACCTCCCACACGCTCGTGTTCCTTGGTCTTTCTCTAAGGCTTTGGGTGCAGAAAATTTCTTCCAGAGATTTTAGTCTACATTTTGGATTTCAGCTTTGAGGATAAGTTTCCAAAAGGGGAATCCTGGCAAAGATTATGTTTCAGACCCTTGATCACCAGAGATGAGGTGACCTCTCAGCTGGCTGTGCCTCCAAGGGCTAGCGCTTGCCCTGGTGAGCCCTGTCTGACATTTGGGATCTCCAAACATTCATGGCATGGTGAAAAACAAGGCTTTGGATTCTGAGGGGTCTGAGTTCACATCCTGAATCCCCTACCTATTCCTGATATCAGTTGGGATTTTTCTTTAACCTTGTTAATTTTTTTGTTTCATTGGACAGTGGGAATAATAGCAGCACGGAATGAGAGGATGTGTTGAAGGGCCTGGGTATAGCGAGGCTGCTCTTACACAGAGGGGCAAGCAGCCCTGGAGCACTCCGCTCCTTTTATCCGCTCCTGGGAGCCGGGGAATCCCTAGTGGATCCTGGTGTGGAGGGAGGGAGGAGGCAGAAGGAAGGCACTGCTGAGGGAGGGGGGTGCTGGCTGCTAGGGATGGAGACCCAAGTAGTGAGCCCCAGGACAGGAACGGGTGCTGCTCTGTGTGTCTTTGGAGTGGAAGTTGCTTTCTTCATGGATACAAACTGGAGGTGGTTTCTGCTTCAGCATAGCATGGTGGGAAAAGAAGAAGGTAGTGATTGTGACGACCTTGGCGTAGATAGTAGTGGTGTCATTGTCATCATTTTGAGGGTAGAGTGATGTTTGCTTAGCCATTTCCCAGTGAGTCCCACAGAAACAGGTTGGCAAAGAACAGAGGGGGCCTTCGCCACCATGATCAGGGAAGGCTTGAGAAAGTGGCTGGCATCTGAGGGGGGACCTGGTGCCCAGGAAGGATTTCGATTGGGTTGAAGGGGAGAGTGGGGTTTGTGGCCCTTGTGAGCAGCACCCATGGGCAAGAACCAGCCCCTGGCTACTGGTTCTCCTGGCTGCTGCCTTACCCGGCCCTACAGAGAGCCCTTCCTGCAGTTAAGGGTCTGCAGTGGCTCCCTTGTTTGGGCTGTACCATCTGCTAACAAGTGCCATCACCAGCACTAATAGGAATTAATATTATCACAGCACCCGGGATAATTTACTGAGCAGGTGCTCCATACTCAGTCCCCCGGCAGCCTCAGGAGGAGTGGGGACTATTATACTCCCATTTTGCAGGTGAGGAAACTGAGGCACAAAGAAGCCCCCCCCCCCCGCTTATCCCAGCAAGAGAATGGCCATTGCTTCCCAAGCAAGTGGGCCCAGAGGTGACTCTCTTCCTCACCATGTCCTGTTACAGCTGCAGATGTAAACAGCTAAGCTTGCATGTAAGAGCTTCCACCACCCATTCCTGTGTCTGAATGCACCCTCATCTTCTCTGTAAGGGGCCGGCGGGGGGAAGCTGAACCCGCCTCCGGCACCCCCTGCGAGGTCCCCCACCACGGAGCTTTCGAGCAAGAGCCAGCAGCAGGCCCCAGCCTGGACCCCGACCCCGCAGCCCGGAGGGCAGCTACGAAACGGGAGCCTGCCCGTCCTCGGTGAGTGGGTGCACCATCGCTGGGCTGGCACCTGGGGGCGGGGAGTGACTTCTTCAGGCCCCTGGGGACTGTTTGCTGTCATCTTGGGAGTGTGCTCCTCTGTGAACAGGGGACCCTCCTGCACCGAGCAGCCCCTGTAGTCTGTGAGAAGGGGTTCTCTCATGGTTCCAGGGAAGTCCCTCCCACCTTCCAACTCAAAGAAGGGAAAAGCAACTTTTAAAAAAATTATTTAAAAGGCAGAGTTACAGAGAGGCAAAGAGAGAGAGAAAGATCTTCCATCCTCTGGTTCACCCCCCAAATAGTCGCAACGCTGAGCTGATCCAAAGACAGGAGCTTCTTCCGGGTCTCCCACATGGGTACAGGGACCCAAGGACCTGGGCCATCTTCCACTGCTTTCCCAGGCTATAGCATAGAGCGGATCAGAAGTGGAGCAGCTGGGACTTGAACCAGTGTCCATATGGGATACCGGCACTGCAGGTGGTGGCTTTACCTGCTATGCCACAGCACCAGCCCGAAAACCAACCTTTAAACCAAGTGTGTATGTATGTCCATGGAGAAAACAGTGCATCAGCCTGTAGGACCACACTGATTTGGATAAGGGGGAGGAATGGATGGAAGGCTCTTAGAGCAATAGCCGGAAGGTAGGAAGGAAAGTCCCCTGGGGTCAGAGGTGACCACAGTACCATTGCATCCCTTCCATGTACTGGGCTTCTCTGAGACACAAGCCCAGATCACAAAGCAGGGCCTCAGCCCATGAAAGGGCCCCAAGACCCCTCTCCTGCAGCCATCAGGAGCTCATGACAGAACCCATTTGCTCTGGGGAGCCTGGGTCCCACACTGGACAAGGTCAGGCTGCCCGCCAGCCATGCCAAGGACTCTTTTTCCGCTTACTCTTCCATCCATGCATAGGAGCTCAGCAGGTGTTCAGGCTACTGGGACTTTACCTCTGACCCCGTACCCCGGAGAGCCATGAACTACTTCTTCCCCTTAAGCAGCTTCCTTTAGATGTTGATTAGCCTCAGTGGGGGTGGGAGAAAGGGGTATGGGGACTGTGGGTCTTGACTTTCTTGCTTCTCCTTGCTTTTATCCAAGCAAGAAAACCTGCAAGGCGGATGGGTGTCTTAGGGCACCAGCGCTTCCATTAGGATCCTTGCACTGAGCAGGCAGAGGGAACCAGAGACTCCCACATGCCCTTGGGAATGGTCAGAGCCTGGGGTGCTTAGAGTAACCAGAGTAAACTCTCCATTTCTCTTGTGTGCAGACGACTTCGAGTCCAAGTTCACCTTCCATTCTGTGGAGGACTTTCCCCCTCCGGATGAGTACAAAGCAAGCCAGAAGGTCTACCCCAGCAAGATCCCCCGAAGTGAGTACCGCCTCGACAAGACTCCTGGCTGCCCCTGAGCCTCCAGAACCTGGTGCTCAGTGTGTCCCGGGTGGCCACAGACTGGTGGAAGATGCCACTGCGCTCGCACTGCGCTACAGGGCTGCAGGGTTGTGCAGCCTTCTGTTCCTGTGTCCCAAGACTCAAGGTTTCATTTTCTGCAGAACGCCAGGGCCAACAGTGGGGCATCACATCTGGGTCCTGCATTTCCCATTCATCCCTCTCTCCCTGAGGCTTTTGACCAGGGAACAGAGCACCAGATCCCAGAAGAATGGGACACAGGAGTTGGGGAGGAAGCTAAATGCTCCCAACTCCAGGTTCTGGAAAATATCAGGAAGAGAATGTCCTTAGGTCTGTGGTTCTCCATGTGGACTCCGTGTTAGAATGACCTTAGGAGCTTTGAAAATCCTGAAGGCCATGGCGGCTGCATCTAGGTCAGCTCACCCAAAGGCCCAGGTGGGACCTGGCTGACTCCCGTGTACTGCCAGGGCTGGGCATCACGGCCCAGAGACAGCCTGCCCCTCCTGCTCTCACTGCCCCACCAGCTCCCAGCAAGGTCTTTGCTCGGCTTCCCTGGTCGTCCTCACAGTGGGAGAGAAGGCTGGCTGCCTGGGACCAGAGCTTCAGGAAGGTCCCCTAAAGGCAAGGGTGGGATGTCAACCTGTCGTCAGTGTGACCCAGTTCTCACGCAGCGCTGGACCAGGCAGGTTGGGGAGGAGCCAGCAGGTGGTGCCGTAGTCAGCAACATGGGGTGGAGCTCAGAGGTGTCCCCGCCCCACAACCTCAGGAAGGTCCTGGATCCCAGACATCCATGGACCTAAGGACTATGTCTGGGGTGAGGCCGCGACCAGGAATCTGGAGCCAGGCTCTGTGACGCCGTGCCTCCAGGGGGACCTTGGTGAACCCCTGCTCCCCACTCAGGCCCAGCCTGGCAGTTTCCCCTGCTGACTTGGGGGACTGCACATTTACAGAGAAGTGACCTTGTGTGCTCTGTTCTCCTTTCGTAAGATGTATTTATTTATCTGACAGAGCGGCAGAGAGAGAGAGAGAGAAATCTCCCATCTGCTGGTGTACTTCCCAAACACCAGCAATCAGCCAAGATTGGGCCCGGCTGGAACCAGGAGCTGGAATTCCATCCCTGTCTCCCATGTGGGTGACAGGGACTCAAGCACCTGACCCCTCATCTGTGGCCTTCCAAGATGCGTTAGCAGGGAGCTCGATCAGAAGCAGAGCAGCAGGACTTGAACCAGCGATTTGGTACTGGGATGCAGGCAGCAGCTTAACCTGCGTCCACAACACCTGCTCCTAAATGTATCTTTTCATTCCATTCTTCTATAACTTTTAAAAAGTTTTGTTTTGTTTATTTGTTGAAAGATGGCAGGGGGAGAGGAAGAGAGAAAGAGAGAGAGGAAAGAGAGACTGAGGCAACTGGCACACTCTCCAGATGACCACAACAGCCAGGGCTGAGCCAGGGTAAAGCCAGGAGCCTGGGACTCCATCAGGGTCTCCCACATGGGTGGCAGGGACCCAAGTGCTTGGGCCATCTTCCACTGCTTTCCCAGGCAGGTGGCAGCTTAATCTTGGTGATTCTGAAATGCCCTTTTGTGGGAATACAGCCAGTGAAAGGGCTAGTCCAGGACTAATCTGACAGACTCTAGTGGCACCTCCTAAGGGACAGTCCCCTTAAGGGCTGTGGGATTAAGTGCACCTTGACCTTGACTGTCCCCTGCCACTCACTTGGGCAGCAGTGGGTTCCTTCTCCAGTGATAGGCACAGTGTACCCTTCTGTTTCAGGAAGAGACAGTCTCCTGCAGCCGCTGCCGTGGGGTCCTGTCACACTCATTGACAGCTGCTGGGAATCTCTTACTGTCCAGTGGTTCTCAAGAGGTGACACCTTTGCCCACTAGGGACGTTCGACAATGTCCAGAGTCATCATGTGGTTGTGACACGTGGGCATGGCACGGGACGTGGGGGCTGCTGGCATCTGGTGGGCAGAGAGAATAGGGATGCTGCTACCCATCTTACAACACACAGGACCGCCCCGTGACAACCAGTGAATAAACCAGCCCAAGACGTAACCAAAGCTGAGGCTGTGAAGCCCTGGCCGGGGAGCCGCCTCTTCTGCAGTGAACAGGAGTTTCTTAACATCAGAGCAGGCACTGCCGCGGCCACCCTCTCCCATGGGCGCACACGGTGGGCGGCCTGTGTGGCAGTGCCTTGTTAATTTTTACCCGATAATTGGCTAAAGGGCCAGCATTCCCTATGTATTCCACCCCCAACTGTCTTTATTCTAGAGCAAATGCACCAGTGTTAGAATTTTTTAAACGAAAACCACAATGTCCGTCTGGTCTCTCATGTAGAGACCCTTCTACATGACAGTTCATTTTTTTTTTTTTTTTGACAGTGAGAGACAGAGAGAAAGGTCTTCCTTTTTGCCATTGGTTCACCCTCCAATGGCCGCTGTGGCCGGCACACTACAGCCGGCGCATCGCGCTGATCCGAAGCCAGGAGCCAGGTGCTTCTCCTGGTCTCCCATGCAGGTGCAGGGCCCAAGGACCTGGGCCATCCTCCACTGCACTCCCTGGCCACAGCAGAGAGCTGGCCTGGAAGAGGGGCAACCGGGACAGAATCCGACGCCCCGACCGGGACTAGAACCCGGTGTGCCGGCGCTGCAAGGCGGAGGATTAGCCTAGTGAGCCGCAGCGCCGGCCACGACAGGTCACTTTAAAACCTATCTTACCTTAAAAGGTTCCAGCAGTGACCTACAGAGGTAGAAAACTATGAAACATATGCTGTAGATCCTGAGAAGTTCTTTCAGGAAAGTTCAAAAAAAAAAAAAAAAAGTAATTCTGCCTCCCAGAGGAGGAATAAACCATAATTTTTACCCATGATGACTTTGGAAAAGGAAGCCAGGGGCCCGGGGAGGGGCAGGCAGAGAGGAGGACCTTGAGGGCTTTTCCCATTATCTTCCTCCCTGCTCTTTGAATGCTTAGCCAGGAGAGCACGTCCCTGTGGGATTTGAGTCCTCCTTTAGCACAGTGTATTCTGGACAATGAGTTGGATCTTCATGGATCAGAAGATCCTTATCTTTTTATTTTTTTTAAATTCATTTGATAGGTAGAGTTACAGTGAGAGGGAGAGACAGAAAGGTCTTCCATCCACTGGTTCACTCTCCAAATGGCCGCAACTGAGTTGCACCGATCTGAAGCCAGGAGCTTCTTTCAGGTCTCCCATGCAGGTGCAGGGGCCCAAGCACTTGAGCCATCTTCTACTGCTTTCCCAGGCCATAGCAGAGAACTAGAACAGAAGAGGAGCAGCCAGGACTCAAACCGGTGCCCATTTGGGATTCCAGCACTGCAGGCAGATGATTAACCTGCGGCCACTGCACCAGCCCCAGAAGATCCTTATCTTTTACTCTTGCTAACCAACCCGAGCACAGCACCTGCACCTCGCCGGTGATGGACTGATGAGTGTGGTCTGGAGCTGGCGTGGTGTTTTGAGTCAAGAAGTTCCAGCGAGCTCTTGGTTGATAGACCTTCATGCCGTGTCCTCCTCGCTGTGTGTTAGTGCAGCTCGCCCACATCCATGGTGTGGAAACACATGGGACTGGGCCGGCAGCCTGCAGGGCTGTGGTTGAGGTGCTCACGTGACCCTGGTTTCTCGGGCTGAGGCTGGTTTGCAGAAGCTCCCCACACAGCCCAGTGCTGGGCCAGGAGATGGGCAGGTGGTTCTTGTCTCTTTCAGGCCGCACACCTGGTCCCTGGCTCCCGGCCGAGGCAGCCGCGCAGGGCTCCGACGACATCAAAGGCAGAAACTCTCAGGTGACTCACCCGTCGGGTCTCAGCCTTCCCAGGGAGCACAGAGGAAGGAGGTGGGCGGCCCCGTAACACTGAGCCAATCCCTTTGTTCCAAGCCAGAATGTACACCCATGACTTTCCAATCTGGAGGGGGAAAGCTGGGCATTGCGGGGGGCCCCACCATGTACAGAAGCAACCTGAGTAACTCAACCCCCCTGAGACACTTGTAGATTTGTTTATTTACAAGGCAGAATTACAGGGGGAGTGGGAGGCGGGAGAAGAGAGAGCTTCCATCTGCTGGTTCACTCCCCAAATGACCGCAATGGCCAGGGCTGGGCTAGACTGAAGCCAGAAGCCAAGACATCCATCCTGGTGCCCCACATGGGTGGCAGGGGCCCGTGCACTTGGCCATCACCCTGGCTGTTGGGGCTATTTGGAAGATCTCTCTCTGATGCTCTGCCTTTGAATGAATGAGAACCCAGCTCCTTGCATGTGACAGCAGCAGCCTTGGGTGAATGGGGAAAGGCCTCAGTGCCACCCTCGGGCGGGTCCTCCCAGCCCCACCCAGTACTGTTCTGTCCTCCCCACAGCTCTCGCTAAAGACACTGCGGTGAGAAGGCGGATGCAGCCAAGGTCCTGGGCTTGCGCATCGCCGATGGGCGTCCCCAGAACACGGCAGACCCCGCCGTACTCCAGCCACAGTCCAGTCGACGTCCAGGCTACAGATGGAGCTTCTGTTTGCTGTAAATACGTGGTTTGCACGAGCTTTAAAGCAGCATTTGAGCCGAGTTTTATTTGAGTAATATTTTTTAAAAAAATCCATGTCCCCATTTTTAAAAATGTATCTTGGCATTCGTCTGTGAGTGCAGATGGAGCCCTGTCGCCCCCATAGCGTGCTTGAGGCTGGCCCCTCCTGGCTTTGGAACCCATTTCGGAACTTCATTTGCAGGTAGTCCCGAAGTCCTAGTGTCGGCAGCAGCTTCCTATCAGCATGCCCTCATATTCGCATTGCACCCACTGCAAAACCAAACCAAACAATGCCTTACAAACGATGCAGCTCAGAGGAAGGAGCGTGGCGCCCAGGTGGCGCTGCGCGCCCCCGCGGCACTGCGCGCCCCCGCGTCTCACTTCCATTGTGCAGAACAGGGGAGATTTTTGCTGTCTAGTGTAAATAGATCGCAGCGTCCAGGCGCGAGGGGCCGGGGCCCCTCCAATGCCGGCTGCAGGGCCCCTTTTGTAACTGAATAGTCCTACGGTAGCCAACGCTCCTACTGTTTACAGTGTCCCTAGTGCCCGCGTCTCTGTCACTTTCCTCTGTCATTTCCCCATCCTGGTCGCCAGGGTAGGGTCTGCTTTAGGAGAGGCTGGTGAATGGTTTTTTCTGCCCTGCCAGTGAAAAAACATACACAGCTCATTGTCCTAGTAACGCACAGATTCCATCTCAGCTCAGCCCCCGCTGCGCCCATCCCGAGGGCAGAGTGACCACGGCAGGTAGGACCCGAGAAAGCACAGAGGGGATCATTCCTGAAACAGCTGCTTCAGGATCCGTCAGGCGAAACCTAGCGCCCTTCCACAAGAGGTGGCTCTCGCCGGCTGGCGGCTCCCTGTTCCCGGGGAGGCCAGGGCGCCTGAACGTGGAAGAGTCAGGTGGGCCGGGACTGCCAGCAAGGGAGTGGCAGCGTGGTTTTGCTGGATGCCTGACCCCAAATTCTGCCTGTCCCAGGTGGGTGGGGGAGGGGGAGACGCTGAGGCTGAGTCCAAGGGAATGAAAGGAAACAGACTGACCTTTGGGCTGTGCCCAAAATACCTTTCCAGGGATGAAACTGAAGAGGGAGAGGGGGGAGAAGGAAGAATAATAAAATCCCCTTTGGAGCGCCCACAGCTGAAGGGTATCAGGCCCAGAGCCTGCCATGCAGAAAAGACAGCCAGTTGGGAGGGCTTGGCTGACGTGACTGTGTCCATGCAGCCATCGTCAGGGGGAGACTAAGCTTCTGCCTTGCGCCAGCGCTGTGCTCTCATTCCACACAGAGGCAGCCAAGCCAAGGTCAAGTTTCCACCTCTAGGGACTGACTCGGGCTGAACTGCAACAGCTCAATCAGCAGAATAGGCGCCCCTGCAGGGCACCACTCTGTGCCCAACTGATGCGGGGTCTCGGTTCTGGAACGTTTCCGAAAGGTCAGAATCTCCTTACTCTGTGTCCACTCCAGCTCCCTCCCAGTTGTGTAAAATAATCTAAGGTGTCCATGATCATGGTTAACAAGGCCCTAGGCAGGTACATCTTCAAAATAGACTGCCCCCCGTCCCCATAAGGCAGATGCGCATTTGGGGTCCAAACCGCTGGGATTAAAACTAAAAGTTGTTCAAGGACAGAGGGAAGGAATGAGCAGAAACCAAAAACGGCAATGAGGGAGAAATCTCAGGAATTTGGTATCCCATCTGTCCTCGACTCGGGCCGAGTCACATGGCCCTGGAGCCGTGCAGGTGCGCGGGGTTCCCTCTGGCAGTGTCGGGGTTCACCCTTGACTGTGAACTCACATCAGAGCATGTGAGTCACAACGTCCCCGCCATCCTCATGTGTCCGGCACCAGAGTCTGTGCCGCCCCCGCTGTTTCACCTGTGTGTATTTATTGATGTCTCCCTCTGCAGATCCATTTCTTTGTACCTAATAAACTGTAATAAGTGGAAATGCTCCCGTTTCCTTGTTAAAACCCATCAATGGTCACCTGTTCCAGTCCAACCCAAACAAGGATTGGGGGGCTTCTAGAACCAGAGAGCAAGGTGGACATTTGCATGGACCCCTCAGAGCTGAGACAACCATTAGGAGCAGGCCTTTGTGTCCAAGCTGATGGCCATCATGGGTATTTGCCAAAACCAAGGTGGGGGGGAGCAGTACTTTTCAGGGAAGTGTTTTGTTTTTAAAAAGTAGGTAACTCCACAGTTAGTCCTATTAATGCCGAATGGGCAGAGTAGGCTGCAGCAACTTCCAGGCTGCCCTGCGCCGAGACCCCTACCCCCTCCGCTGGCTGCTTAAAGGAGCTTGCTGAATAACAGGGTCATCTCCGTCTCCTGCACGGTGTTGTTAACCCTTCCGGGGCTCAGTATGGAAGAGGGGATCTCGGGGCGGGGGGGCGCTCGGAGGGCAGGGGACCCTTTGGAACACAGTGCAAGGGAAAGGTTTATCTAGTGGCGAGGTGGCTCAGGGTTAAAGCTCGGAAGGCAAACAAGAGTCTGACTCTCCATTTTGCCTCTTGCAATTTGGAAAAGCGAATTATTTAACTGGTCCGTGCCTCAGTTTCCTCATATGTCAAATGGAGACATAACTATGGCCCTGAGCCTGTGGTGGGGAAGACTTCAGGACTTGACACGTGAAAAAGCCCTTAACTCTTGGTCACAGCAGAACCAGGTGCGAGCACAAGCCCACACGCCGGGAGCCACCTGCTGGCAAAGCACACGCTAGATCGTGGCCCCGCTCTGCTGGCTGGCTCGACAGGCCTCCCGCCGAGCAGCTGGGTGAGCTGCTCAGAGCACCTTCACCGGCTGAGGCTGGGGAACAGAGGGAGCGGTGACTGAAAAGTCATAGATGGTCCTGAAATCTATCTCATCTAGACACTGATTCCAATGCTTTGCATCAGAATTAGCTAAGGGGCTAATTTAACTCTTTAACGACCAAAGGGCAAGGCCGGGTGAGGACAATAAAGACTCAAGATAATCCACAATGTAGAAGATGGCCCCGAGTCACTGCAGACAGTGTGGCGGGAGCTGGGTGTGCAGGTGTTCCTTGTAGGGAGGGGGTTTCTGGAGGGGTCAGCAGAGCAGCCCAATGGAAGGGCTGTAGACCCAAGAAGCAAGTTCCCAATTCTCGGGCCATACCCCAGCAGGCTTTAGCATCCTTCATGAACCCGTTCTGTTGTGGGTTACACTGTGTCCTTCCCCCACCAAAATGCATAGGTTGACGTTCTGGTCCCCAGGACCCCCAAATGTGACCTTGTTCAGAAATAGGGTCATTGCAGACATAATTCTTAAGATGAAGTTGTACTGGCATAGGGTGGTTCCTTCGTCCAGTGTTAGATGCCCTTAGAAGTGGAGAGTTGGACATAGCCATGCTCACAGCAAAGAAAGCCATGTGACAGGCAAGAAAGTGAGATGAAGCTTCTACAGGCCAAGAAATACTAAAGACTGGGACAAGAGCCACTGAACAGGTTCTCAGACCCCTCAGGAAACAACCTTGATCTTTGATTCGTAGGCTCCAGGACAGTGAGACAGTTTCTCCTGGTGCCGTCGCCTGGGTCGGGTGCTGTGTCACCGCTGCACTCCACAGGAGCGTGCTGCTTACGGAGAGCGAGCTGGGGATTGGGTTAGAGGAACGAGCAGCTCCTGTCCTCTCCTGACCCTGGCGCGGGTCACTGCTGCAGGGCCTAGGTCCGATTTTAATGCACAGCCAGCCAGCTGCAGAGAGGGAACCACGCAGGCATCTGGCATTCCTGGCTCTTCTCCCGTGGCCCCTCTCCTGTCATGGGAGAGCTGTGACACTTTAGAATAAAGAGGCCCCCGTGGATACCCCGGCCATGCTGAAGACCTGGACTTGAGGTTCTGGTATGCTGCTGAAGACTGGTAAAGTACACTTAACATAATTAGCCACTTACCGTGGCTAGTGTTCAGTGATGGTAAGCACACCCACCTGTACACCGTCCACCTCCAGAACACTTGTCCTGCAAAGTGGAGCCCCCAGACCCGTTAACCAGCAACTCCCTAGTTCCCTTCCCCAGCCCCTGGCACATCCCCTTCTACTTTGTCTTTTCTGTCTACTTTCTGAATCTTGACTCTGACTCCCTTAGATACATGTAATTCTGCTCTGTTTGTCCTCTTGTGACTGGTTTCACTTAGCTCAGTGTCCACCGTGCTATAGCATGGGCCAGGATGCCCTTCCCTTGTGTGGCTACACCACATATGCTCGTCCGTTCACCTGTCGCCGGGTGCTTCAGTTGTGTCATTTCAGCTCCCATGAATGCAGCTGTGAACAGCGTATCTTCCAGAACCTGCTTTCCCGTGGGATTGCTGGGGCCTATGGTAATTGTTTTCTATCTCTGAGCTGTTTTCTACAGCTGACAGCACCACTCACATGGCCACCAACTCTGCACAAATGTTCCACCTGCTCACAGCCTTACTAGCTCCTGCCACATTGCTATCTTGATAGTGACTCTGTGTTTAGTTTTTAACTGAATTCATCCACAGAATGTACACAGCGGAGGTGGGAACTGGGCACAGTGGCCGAGCTGCCGCTTGGGGCGCCCACATCCTCTATCAGAGTGCCTAGATGTGAGTCCTGGCTCTGCCTCCAATGCAGCTTCCTGCTAATGCACACCCTGGAAGGCAGCAGTTGATGGCTCAAGTTGCTGCCATCTAGGGGGAGACCTGGACAGGGTTCCAGACTCTTGGCTTCAGCTTGGCCAGCCCCAGATTTTGCAGGCAGGAATGAACCAACAGATGGAAGATCTCAGTCAGTCAGTCAATCTCTCCTCCTTCTCCCTTGTAAATAAATATATTTAGGCCGGCTCCACGGCTCAATAGGCTAACCCTCCGCCTGCAGTGCCAGCACACCAGGTTCTAGTCCTGGTTGCTCCTCTTCCAGTCCAGCTCTCTGCAGTGGCCCGGGAGTGCAGTGGAGGATGGCCCAAGTCCTTGGGCCCTGCACCCCCATGGGAGACCAGGAGAAGCACCTGGCTCCTGGCTTCGGATCAGCGCAGTGCGCCAGCTATAGTGGCCATTGGAGGATGAACCAACAGAAAAGGAAGACCTTTCTCTCTGTCTCTCTCATTGTCCATGCTGCCTGTCAAAAATAAATAAATTTTAAACATAGTAGTACACAATGCAGGACACTGTTGAACTGAGTGTTCTGAAGATGCCAATCAGAAAACCATATCCGCTTTCATAATTTTCTTTGTGACTTTGTAAGCACATTTATTCATGAGACACAAGACAGAAGACTGGACATTCATTTCAGTTTTTTTTTTATTGTAGGCTCAATGCATTTAGAGACATTTCCAAGGGCAAGCACGGCTAAGGACGTTATCTGGTCTGTAGGTATTTGTACAAAAGACTGTTAAGACTACAAGGTCAGTTCCCCCTGCAGGAAACAGGAAGATTTTTTTATTATTCCCTGCTAATAGTGTTTTTCAGGCAACACATTTAAATTCTCACAACATGATTGCAAACGTGTACATATTGGTTCCCACGAGAAATCTGCATGGGACATTTCAGGGTGTTTGGAGTCAACCAGATACAGCACACTGGGACACAACCACAGGAGGGCAGCTGGGACTTTGGACTGTGTGGGATGAAACGCCACAGCTACGGCTACAGGGAAGCGTAAGGGAGTGCTGGAATGGGACCGCCGTACTCGCCACCGGCCACTCTCAGCGAGGCGGGTGCTCCTCCCCTACCCCCCCACTTCCTTCCTACAGCTGAGCGCTCAGTGGAAGACCTTCCCCAAGGGCAGATGGCTCTTCAGTCAGGAGCGCACTGGTCTTATCTGGCTTCCCCGTTGGGCCGGCCAGAAGGTATTTGACACTGGGACCACCATGGGCTGATCGGTGAGGAAGCGGACTTGCCCGGCTGATCATCCAGTGTTCAGATCTAACGATTCACCCAGTAGTAAAGGAAGTTACTGCTGGGATGCTCTAGGACCTGCCTGCTCCGTGAGCTTGTAGGATTAGGGCTCCTGATGGCAGTAATACAGGGGTTTACCACGGTGACCGGGACCTCCGTGAACTTGTAGGATTAGGGCTCCTGATAGCAGTAATACAGGGGTTTACCGCGGTGAACGGGACCTCTGTGAACTTGTAGGATTAGGGCTCCTGATAGCAGTAATACAGGGGTTTACCGCGGTGACTGGGACCTCCGTGAACTTGTAGGATTAGGGCTCCTGATAGCAGTAATACAGGGGTTTACCACGGTGACCGGGACCTCTGTGAACTTGTAGGATTAGGGCTCCTGATAGCAGTAATACAGGGGTTTACCGTGGTGACCGGGACCTCAGGGTCGCCATCATCTTGATTATGTGCTTATTCTAACTGGAGTCACACACCTCTCCAACACTGACCAAGTACTAGTTCTGCTCCCCTAATCCACTCTTCCTGGAGCCTGCACCCTTGTGGGTGAGGGTGGGCTTTACCTGTGCTGAATCCCATCCCCCGGTGAGGGCCACAAGAGTGGGGAATGACATGACACCGTCAGGGCCGTCCTGGACGTGCGCCATGCCTTCTCCCCACACAAAGTACGCACAGCCGCTGTCACCCCAGTCTTACTAGGTACACAAAGGGTATTCTAAGAGGCTGTTCACACTGCGCCCTTCAAACATCACATCCGTATTTCATCGTGAATATTCTTGCCTGTCTTCCCTTCAGAAGAGCTGATAATTCCTGGCCAAGTAACGACCCATGTAATAAGCATTTTTTCCATTTAAAAGCCAACACCCCACCACTGCCACCACGAACAGCCTGCTGAAAATCCAACAACTTTGCAACTGTTCATTTAGTAGATAACAGTCACTAAACATGAGTCTAAGCACAACAGCAGGTTCTTTGCTGTCGTCTTGTGTCTCCCCTTCCATCCCAAAGCACAAAGAAGCCACCTGTGGGCCACCTCGGTGCCTGATGATGCAAAGATACAAAACCAAGGCCAGGTTACCCTCAGCCAAGCTATGCCCCCAGTTGGCTGCAACACCCTCTAGTGGCCAGTCCAATACATCACCGTTGTGATGGGCCAAGGGGTCAGGACAACCCTGAGTGTCTCTTCCCAGAAATGCCTGACCACAGTCTACATCCCCTCTCAGAAGCGGCCACTGCATTTCCCACCATGTGGCTGGGTAATGCATGAGGCTGGCAAGGCTAGCCGCGACCTCCGTGTGACCCATATGAGGGATGTGGTCTCCCTACATTGCTTTGGCTCAAACCCTGAATCAGTGCAGCTGTCTCAGCCATGTCAGACCTGATGATCTGCTCCCACACTGGGTGGTGGCGATGAGACCACACCGTGAAATTCAGAGTGACTGCATCATCTTGCTTTCAGTAACCACTTGGCAGGTGCACTTGGGGGAGGACAGGTACCTGCATTCTCCTTGAACCTCACCCTTCCCTTTAGCACTTGTGGACAGACGCTCTCAGAGAGCCCTCGTGCACCAACAGGGAAAGCCCGAGTCAAACTTGCACAAAGCTCAAAGGCACGAGAAGCCACCACTACTGACGCCATCAATGGCCAGCTGAAATGCTCTTCCCCCTCTCACTCGGAATTTACAAAACGGCCGAGCGCAAAGCCCACAGTCCTCCCCCACCCACACTTAAGGGAGGGTCGGTGGAAAAAAAGAGATGGTTCTGCAGCCTCTGCCGCCCAGGTAGCATCTATGTGACGAGGGGCGTGTCTCCCACGTGGCCTGTGACACTCCTGTGGGGAGGCATTCACTCAGGCCACCTCCGAGACGACAAGCTCTCACAACGGTCCCATCTGCCACTTCCTGCCCAGATGGCGCTCTCCCACTGGCTGCTATATTAGCAATCGCTTCCCCTAACCATTGCTGCCCCCGTGCCACTTCCAGAGGAGTCGAGAGTTTCAGTAGATGGAGAGACCCCCCCTCCCTACCACCATCCCCTCACTTTACCTGCTGGTTTGAAGACAACTACCAGGACATGTGGGGTGTGAGGACTTGAGGAGTCGAGAGTTTCAGTAGATGGAGAGACCCCCCCTCCCTACCACCATCCCCTCACTTTACCTGCTGGTTTGAAGACAACTACCAGGACATGTGGGGTGTGAGGACTTGGTGGGGATGAGCTGGAAGCTGGCCACTTCACACACACATTTGTAGGATTTCCAGGCTGGCCAGGCAGGGTGGGGGTGGGACGGTTAACCCGCAGAGAATGCGTCTCCATCCATCTGCCACCCGCTTGCCCTCTGTCTTCCCAAGGCTGAGCCCATCTGCTCTGCCCTGCACTTTCTATGCTGTGCAGGTGAGCCAGATCCTTTATGTGGACACCATGTTGAAACAGATCCATTTAATCCAAGCCTCTGTGCAGAGATAATGGAGTGACTGCTCAGATGCCAGCTACACCACCTGAAATCTAGAGAGTCGGCAGTTTCTCCTCTCCCTCCCCTCCTTAGATGCACAGCTTTGTGGGCCGTTGAAAAGGTCCCAGACGAGACGCTGGTGACCCGATCCGGAACCATTTCTACCCAGGGCTTCATCGAAGTGGCAGGTGTGCCTGTGGGGAGACCCACGCAGTGGCCGACAGGTGACCAGGTCTCCCGCACAGGACACTTCTGAGGCCCACCGCATAGGAGCACGGTACATGGGAAGATGGGTTCTTCCAGATCACGGGAACTAAAGGGGGAGCAAGGACCGGGGAGGAGCCCCCGTATTCCTCCCGATTGGTCTTGTCCCCCAGGAGACACGTGCACGGCCACTGACATGCACTCCAGTGAAAGGGAGCCGGAGAGCCACTCCCTCAACTCCACACACAAGAGCCCTGTGTGTGCAGACAAGCGCCTTTTGTTAACCTGCAGGACCCGTTACGGAGAGGAAGAGTAAGATCCGCAGAGAGGCCGCTCCTCCCGCCAGCCCAGCCCTGCGGAGCCTTCCCTCCCAGGTACGAGGCACTCTGCCACTGAGGGGAAGGCTACTGGGCCTACTGTTGCTGAAACACAATGACAGCAGCCTCAGGTCCACAGTGGGTCACACGGACAAATGACAGGCCAGCAGGAGACACGGGACCCGGCAGAGGAGGGCAGCCACGCTGCCGACCGGGGCGGGAGGGACACGGCAGGTTCAAGGCAGGCCGCCAGGGAGCAGATCCGTCGGGCTTCGGAGAGGGAGGCCACATCTGTACGTTCTCGGTTTGCTCAAACAGCAGAGGGGCGTGTTTTGCTGGTAACTTAGTAAGGTGGGAAGTTTTAAATAAGAAGGGGAGGGGGGCGCTTACTTCACTTAAAGAACTTGATCTCCGTGTCAACACAGTCATAGAAAAGGTCTCCCACTTCGGCGGGGTCCAGGGGCTCGGAGCTGCTCAGGATCTCCTCCATGGCCTCCAGGCCTTGCTTCTCCAGCTCCAACATGGTCTTCCTCAGCTGCTGGCCCTGCTCCTGGGGTGGGGGAAGGACATGGCCACTGTACGTGTAAGCAAGACACTGGGCACTGTGGCCACACGTGCTGAAGGCCTCCGGGGTCCCCTGGCCTCCTGCCCCACACAACTGCCATGGGGGCGTTCTGGAATACCAGTGCGCTGTCACATTCCTGCCCAGGACACCTGCACACTCCTGGCGCGTCCGGACTCCTCTGGGACATGCAGGGGAGGCCCTGGTGTCACAGGAGTCCCTCACTCACCTGACCTCTTGCTGTGGAACGCCCTCCTCTTCAGCCGAGTTAACTATCACCTTCCTCCAACCCATGCACTTGCTCCAACCACTGCACAGTGGTGTCGCCCTCCCTCCACGCTTGGTCACCTTGTGCCTACGTTGTGCAGGCTTCCTTGGACCCCCAGTGCGCTGCCTTAACTCCCACCCTGTCACTATCTCCCCATCGTGTGCTGTTTTTCCCACGCGGCTGTGACCGCCATCGGACCTGACCGTCATGTCCTGGGCGGCGGGAACGGGCCCGTCTGTCCTCCAGGAAACACTGTCCAGAGATGCTTGTTAAGGGAAGGAAAGGATGGATAATAAACACCTGCCACGTCCATGTTCCTCTGAGACGGTGGGAGCGCTTCTCCCAGGCAGGAGTCATTCATGCACAGGCGACGACTAAAGCCTTCACCTGCCGGTTGAGTCCCAGAACAGAGAGGCGGCTCCCCACCTAGCCACCCACCCTCCCCTTCCTCCTAATGCCGCCTTGACTCAAACCAAGAGTCATTTCTCAATGCCAAAGCCTACTCGCCTCACCCCTCTTTGAACACAAGGCCCTTTCTCCCTCTGCATTCTCACTGCCAAATATCCAGAAGATCATTCACCAGAAAGGGGCCTTTTCAGCCTACATGGGGATAACTGTCTCCCCCTCCCCGCCGTAAGGGACAGTGGCAGGAGCTAACTAGACAGCCCTGGGGAAAGCCTGGCTCAGCGTGGTGGCAGCGTCCTCCGCTCTGGGGAAGCGTCTGCAGGGCCACATCTCTGAACACGGTGGGAGCTCAGAGACGTCTCCTGGATCCGCCTGCGTTCGCTGCTGGGCTCGGCGCTTCTGTCCCTTCCAGATGGCCCACCACGCCAAACGAGGAAAATAAGCTCGCCCGATTCGTGCGGCCATCTCCCTAACCCGTGTCCCTTCTCTTCGGGACAGACTGGACCCACTAAAGGTGGTGACATAAAGGCTTGGGCGTGATGACAGGGCAACCAACCCCCTCATGCTGTCCTCCTTCCTGCAGCAAATGTGAGCACCTGGAACCCGGCACGACTGGCTGCCGCGGGCACCATGGGCGTGGGAGCCGCCTGGCTGCTTCCCTCGCTTGCGCTGATGTCCTGGAACTTCACTGACCAAAGCTCGTGGGGCGTGGGGGCAGCGGAGCTGCATGTTGAAGAATGACTTTTTTCTTTCCATCAGGAACTCAAGAACCTTTTTCTAAACTATGTCTGTATTATGATAAAGTTTACCTTTTTTTAAAAGATTTATTTATTTATTTGAAAGTCAGAGTTACACAGAGAGAGGAGAGGCAGAGAGAGAGCAAGACACAGGTCTTCCATCTGATGGCTCACTCCCCAATGGGCAGCAACGGCCAGAGCTGCACTGAGCCGAAGCCACGAGCCAGGAACTTTAAGGTTCACCTTTTTACCTGCCCGTCAATGTATGGTTCACTGCCAAGCAGTCCGTTCTCACTGGTGTGCAGCTCTCTCCACCACCTGCCTCCAGGGCTTTTCTGAGAATTACTCCTTTGAAGCAACATACGACAGCATCTTTAAATACAGTGTCAGGGAGGCCGGCACTGTGGCCCAGAGGGTTAAGCCACCATTTGCAACACCACATCCCACACGGAAGCCCGGGTTGAGTCCTGGCTGCACCACTTCCAATTCAGCTCCCTCCTAAGGCACCTGGGAAAGCAGCGGAAGACGGCCCTGGTGTTTGAGCCTCTGTTACCCACATGGGAGACCCAGATGGAGTTCCAGGCTCCTGACTTCAGCCTGGCCCAGTCCCAGCCAATGCAGTCACTTGGGAAGTGAACCAACAGGTAGAAAGCTCTCTTTCTCCCTCTCTCTGTTACTCTACCTTTCAAATAAATAAAACCTTTTAAAAAATAAAACAAAGTATTGTTATGAAGTACAATGTTTTACTTCCTAAAGGACATGAAGAATTGCAGCACATCAACAGCTGCCTCTACAACTAGAGGACTCCATTATCCCTGCGTGAACCGGCACAGCCCGCCGGGCTCAGAAGAAGCTCAGAGGCACAGGCTGTTTCACTGGGCAGGGAAAGCAACAGCAGCATCCTAGGAAGGACCTGCTCGTGCTGGAGCGAAGGGACACGACCTCAGCCAACACTCCCTCCCGCCACGGCCCGCCCCGCTCACCTGGTCACTCTCGAGGATGGAGCGGGCCCACTCGTGGGCCTTGTACAGCTCGTGCCGGCGGTCAGGTTTCTCCTGGAATCGAGGCTCCTTTTTGGCAGGGTCGTCGTCCCCAAAACAGGGAGACCGCGTTTTGGGGACAAGTTTGACATCATCGACAAAGATGAAAGGCTTGAATATGGACCTGCGGAGAGACGGCAGAGGCACTTCAGCCACTGAGCCCGGGGCCTGGGGGTAAAGGCTGCCCTTTTATTCAGCGTGGCCCGCGTTGTGGCGCAGTGGGTGGCACTGCTGCCTGTAATGCTGGATCTCATCTGAGCGCCAGTTTGAGTCCTGGCTGCTCTGCTTCCGATCCAGCTCCCTGCTGATGCACCTGGGAAGACAACAGAGGATGGCCCAAGTGCTTGGATCCCTGCCACCCAGATGGAATTCCAGGCTCCTGGTTTCAGCCCGCCTAGCCCCAACTGTTTTGGAATTTGGCAAGTACATCAGGGGATGGAAGATCCACACACACCCGCCCCTCTCTCTACCTTTCAAGTAAATAAAGTCAGTCTTTAAAAACAAAAACCATTTCCTGAGCCAACTAGCAGTGGGTGGCGGGTGGTGGTGGGCGGATGCGTGCCAGGAGGGACACAGCTGCGAGTTTTAGCATCTATTTTAGTAAAACTAACAGCCATTGAAAAGCTGCAAAATTCTTCCATTTACAGCAGCGAGTCATCGAAACAGACGTTGCTTGTTCTGGGGTGGCTGGGTGAGAGGTCCCTTTGAGCTGCACACAGACACGCGGCGTTCTGAGGAAACGGAGTGCGGGCACCTGGGGGCCTCTCCCCTGGCTCGCTGGGAAGTGGCATCCTTTAAAGGAAGGGTCTTTAGTTTTCTGGGTTCGGGTCTGGGTTTTCTGAGGTTCTATCTGCTGCCAAGTCTTGGAAGATCCCTGACAGAGTCGAGAAGGGGACAGAGTAAGACAGATGACAAGATAGGACCCCCGAGGCCCCAGGGGGGCGGTGCCGCAGAGAAACGGAGGTGTGGCTGTGGGACAGAGCTCATGCCGGGCACAGGCGGTGGCTGCTACCTTGCTCTTTCCGATTTGGGAGGGTGGATGCACCTTGGGGAGCCAGCAGCAGGTGCACCCGTGTGCTTGCAGGCGTGTATGTGGGGGGTGAACGTGAACATGCACAACCATGTGCAGGTGTACACATGACTTACGCAGCCTGGACACATATCAGGTCACACACACCACACACACACACACACACACCCCAAAAGGGCCATGCATACGAAGCGTGGTGGCCTGAGAACCCAGGCTGACACTGTAACATCAGGAACACAACTGTATTGCCCCCCTCTCTCCACACCCAGAAGAAACCCTGCTGGCTCAGAGGGTGCTTGCAGTAGGCACAGGTCCCTCCGGCCCCAGGGGAGTCCTGTTCTCAGCCACACCATGGGCAGTGCCTGCAGTAACAGGAGGAGAGAATGCACCACACACACCAGCTGTCAGCAGGTTGGGGTGCGTCAGAGTCAGGCATCTTCTCTCAACAGGTGCACCTCGGCCTGCTCCAAGGTGCCCTGAATGGGTTAGAGGGGGCTGGGGTCTGATTCCTGAGGCGGCCAGAGCAGCCTTGCCAGTGTGCCATGCAAACATTTTCCTACGCACCAAGAAGTGAACAGGCCTGAGAACCAATGGCCCTTGTTCCCCAGACTGTGACCTTGGAGTTGCAGCATCAGCTTCATCTGCAGGACCTCAGGCCCCACCCCTTCCTGCTGGACCGGAATCTGCATGAGAACAAACCCCGGGGGCTCCCAGCAGACCCATGTCTGAGGAGCACTGCCACAGGGTCATGAGAAGTAGCCCCTACACTGGTTCCCTGTGGTGACCAAGAGAGGAAAGGGGTGGCTGTCTGGCTTGGCAATTGAGACATTAGCTGAGACATCTGTATCCCACATCAGAGTACTGGGGTTCAAGTCCCAGCCCAGCTCCCGATCCAGCTTCCTGCCAATGCAGACCCTGGGAGACAGCAATGATGGCTCAAGTAATTGGGTCCCTGGCACCCAGGTGGGAGACTGCACTGAGTTCCTGGCTCCCAGCTTCATCCTGGCCCAACCCTGGCTAGTGTGGGCATTTAAGCGATGAATCAAAAAGACGGAGCACTCTCTTTTTCTCTCAAAAGATAGAAAATAAAGATACTCGGGGCCAGTGCTGTGGTGCAGCAGGTTAATGCCCTGGCCTGAAGCGTCGGCATCCCATATGGGTGCCAGTTCTAGTCCCAGCTGCTCCACTTCCAATCCAGCTCTCTGCTGTGGCCTGGGAATGCAGCAGAAAATGGCCCAAGTCCTTGGGCCCCTGCACCTGCATGGGAGACCCGGAAGAAGCTCCTGGCTCCTCTTCAGCGCAGCTCCGGCCATTGCGGCCATCTGGGGAGTGAACCAGCGGATGGAAGACCTCTCTCTCTCTTTGCCTATCCTTCTCTGTAACTCTGTCTTACAAACAAATAAAATAAACCTTTAAAAAAAAGAAAAAGAAAATAAAGACACACAATATGCAAAACTGGGGGCAGACTCATTTCATTTGAATGTCAAAAGCAGCCCAAGCTCTGCACCTGGTACTCTTTAAGGACAGATGTCAGGAGCTCTGCTGTTCTCTGAAGGTGAGGCAAACACAGGAGGGCATTTCCAGAAGATCATGCAGAAATGGAAAAATTTATTTTGGTGGGAAAATTTTTGAAATCGATGTGTAGTTTTTTTTATATGCATTTTCCATGAACTTTTTAGATACCCTTTGTATGCATAAATTTTAAAAACGTTTCCATCAAAAGAAACCAAAATCTTTTAACCAAAATCTTTCAACCCCAATTTCCATGAACTTTATGAAGTATTCTGGTCCCATCCTCAGGCCCATCTGCTGGGAATCCAACAGAACGCAAGCTGGGTCATGCCAAGGCCCCACCCTGCCTGTCACCAGAGGACGTCCCCCCCAAGAGACACGAGGAACTGCCCTCGCACAGGAGGAACACACACCTGGGCTTCCCACAGGCCCCTGAAGCCGATTGTCCCTCCTCCCTCCTATGGAAGGCTGGACTCGACAAAGGAATCAATGTGAAACTGAAACCTGTCTAAAGCAATTCTGATTATATGGAGGTGACTCCTCTAAGGGCTGTGGTTTGAGGGTTTACTGAAGGGCAGTAATGGGGAGGGGAGAGAGAGAGAGAGAGAATGTGTGCGCGCCCATCCCAGAGAGACAGGTGGAGGTTACACTGCTCCGGGCCCATCTGGTCTCTGACAACACAGCTGCACTCAGGGGGGAGGCACCCACGCTCTTCTGCAGGGCCAGGCAGCAGCACTCGGAGCCTCCCCGGTTGGCACAAGCTCTCTCTACAGCAGAGACCCGCACCTGCACAGGCCACACCCTCTCTGCTCCAGAGCTCCATGCTGAGCCCCCTTGGGGCTGGGCGACTGCCCCGCAGCTGCAGAGCCCAGGCTGGAGAGGAGACCCTTTGGGAGAAGAGCTCCCCCACCCCGTTTCCAGCCTGCCCCAGGCCACACTGCCACGTGACACAGTGCCCCCACACCACGCCACCCAAAAGCCCGAGTGGGAGTGCTGTTCTCATCAGGCTGAGGCGCGACACGGAGCACAGCGCCAGCTCCCGGGTTCTGACTCAGAGCTCTCTGCAGAGCTGCAGCCTTGAGTGACGTATGAGCCACAGCCAAGCAACATGCCCTTTCCAGGCCATTCCTTGCACCAAGTCAGGGTAAAAAATCTGTTTCCAATCATTTGTCTTCTCATCTGGCAGGAAAGCGAAACAATGCAAATCTCTAACTTCACAGAGTGTAGCACCATTTTCAAAATGTTTGCATTCAACTCTCACGGATTCTTATTCATTCGTTCGTTCAGTCTGTGTGGAGTGTCGACTGAATACCAGATGCTGTTCCAGGTACTAGGGATATAGCAGAGAGCAAGGCAGGGCAGAAAGTTCTGGCCCATTTTACCGATGAGATGACTGAGGCTCAGAAGCGCACAAAGTGCTTTGTCCACGGTCACATTCCTACTAACTGGAATTTAGAACTAAATTCAGATCTCCTAAATCCGGAGTCAGATTCCCCCACCACCCCTCACCCTCATATCCTTCTGTTGCACTGTTCAGATGGGCACTACAGCATTTCACTATCAGTGAGAATTTTACTATCAGTGTCCAGGAAATAGGTCAGCCTCAAACATGGCTGTGCTGTTGCTGAAGGCACAGAATCTCCCCCAGTGACTAAGCCAGACTTGTCTTGTCACCCAGAGTCCCTGGCACAGGAAGGGGCAGCCTGAATCCCTTACCCAGAAGTCTGTGCTCAGGGTGCCTGATCTGAGAGGAGCCTGGAAACACTGGTGCCTCCAGACACGCAGGTGTCCCTCTGAGCTGTTCACCCCGGGTCACTCCCACTTCCCTGTGCCTCGCTTTAATCACAAGGTCAAAGTCACAGGTGGCTGAGAGCAGAGCCAGTCCGCGAGGGCAGCTTCCACTTCAGGGAGAAAGAGCACCAGTACATTAGGAGCACGGGACACCTTTGGCACGGTGAGCGGATGCAGGAGCGCTGGAGGGTGCAGAAAGTCCCAAGAGCAGGCTACAGAGAGCAGAGCGATGGCGTTGGAAGGATCCAGAAGAAGACTGGAGGTGGGGGTGCTGCTTTCCCTGGGGCCCTCAGCTCTGCCTGTCCATGCCCTACAAAGCTCCAAAGCCTGTATAAGTTATGGTGTCCAAAGCTCATAATGATTTTTCCAGTTAAAAAACAAAAGCTGTCATCTGTTGCTAACATTAAAATTATGCAAAGATGGCCGGCGCCGCGGCTCACTAGGCTAATCCTCCACCTTGCGGCGCCGGCACACCAGTTTCTAGTCCCAGTCGGGGCGCCAGATTCTGTCCCGGTTGCCCCTCTTCCAGGCCAGCTCTCTGCTGTGGCCAGGGAGTGCAGTGGAGGATGGCCCAGGTGCTTGGGCCCTGCACCCCATGGGAGACCAGGAAAAGCACCTGGCTCCTGCCATCGGATCAGCGTGGTGCGCTGGCCACAGTGTGCCGGCTGCGGCAGCCATTGGAGGGTGAACCAACGGCAAAAGGAAGACCTTTCTCTCTATGTCTCTCTCTCACTGTCCACTCTGCCTGTCAAAAATAAAAAAAAAAAAAATTATGCAAAGATAGAGTCTGGGACAATCCAACATAGGCTCCCAAGATTAACACAGTGCGAAGAAGAGAGGAAGCAAAGAAAATTCTCTCCCTCTCTCTCTCCACACACACACACACACACACACACATACTCAACACGCACACAGATGCACACACACACACAGACTCCTTTGTATCTCCCCCTCAGCTCCCTGCCACCAGCTACAACATGTCAAACACCTGCTTTGCTAGAAAGTCCTCTGTGTTATTCACCATCTTGGTCTACCCTTCCAGTACTTGAGAATCTGTGTATTTCCCCAGATGCGGGCAGCTGCCACGGTTGTGCTAGACTGACAACCACACGTCTGCCAACAACACGCCCAGACTGACAGTGCTTGCTGGTCTCTGTGGTATGAACACTCCCACCATGACACCTCTCAGCCACCAACATCACCAACCTCACCCAATGTAGAGGTGGGAGGAGCCACAGGCAACCCTTCCCCCGGGGCAGCACACTCTGAGGCCGAATTTTAACCCGTCTAAGGTGCCTCTCTGTTGTGTCCTGTTCAACTCTTCACATCAGTGGAGCTTAACCAATGCTGGCTTCTGAGGCAACGGTTTCCCAAGGCGGGAGCCAGGGCGCTGAAACCCATTTGCAGGCATGACTGAGGTCCATGCTGACTCAGCAGAAGAGGTGCATGATGGGAGTTAGCCTCTCAGTGAAATCAGCGGAAGGACGTTTGCTTCTCTCTCGATCATTCCAGCTCTCAAACTTATACAGTGCCGGGCACGTGGGGGGGGGGGGGGGGGCGGAGGACAAGGACATGAGAGCAGGTTCTTTCCCGGAAAGGAGCTGGAACTACTACAGCGAGTGGAGTTCAGCGGAGGGTCCAGGCGGACAGAGCCGCAGTGGGAGCACAGCCTTCAGTTCCAACACGAAGCGGGCAGTGTCGATGGCGCACCCGGGCCGGCTCTGTGACCAGCTCCTGTCAGTCCACTGCCCTGACACTGCCTCCAGAAAGTGTCTTTCTAATCACTAACCATCAGCAGAGGCCAGCTCAAATCCCCGAATTCTACGACCTAAAACCTCAGAGTAGACAATCACACTTCCTGCTGAGAAAACACAAACTGCTGAACACGCCCCCCGTACAGAGACAACGAAATGTTGAATACGGAAAAGGGACGTCTTCCAGAAGGGCCTTAATCATCTACGAGGGCTTTGCAATTAATTTAACAAGAAAGGATTTTCTTTTAACATGACTTGAAGTTTCCATCTTAAATATTAGAAGGCCATTTCCCAACTTATTTCTACAATCGCATTAAGCCATGTCCTGCAGCCTAGAAAACACAATTGCTTTACATTAGTGCCAGAGCACCACAAAGCCCTGTCTTCTATACAGTTAGGGCCAACAGGGTGGGGTCAGTTCAACCTGGTCCTTGAAAAACTGCTTTTTCCCAAAGAACACAGTCCAGATACTTTAGCCGAACGTTCCACACGCTTCAAACAGAACTCCAGATGTCCACGGGCATCAGAGTCCTCCCAGGAGGCTGCAAGCAAGGGCAAAGACACCACAGAGGGCAGGGAGCCCCAATTCTACCAGACCCAAAAAGCAAGTGGATGGTGGGGCCACGGAATGGAGGGCTCAGAACTGGGAGACAGAATCAAGAGAAAGCAGCTGGAGCCAAGGAGAAGTCTCCAAGAGGTGGCTGGGAACACGGCCGAATGGCAGAGGCTCACCCAGTGAGGGCAGCTGGGCTGGTTTAGCAAGGGGTTGGGGGCGGAGGAGGGCAGAACCTAAAGACCAGCCTCCTCCCGGGAGGACGTGCCATGGTAACGGTGTGCCACGCTACCCAGTGCCCCTGTGCCTTCGCACACGCTATTCTCTCTGCCCAACGCTATTCCTGCTTTTTGCACCTAATACATCCACTTTCCCACCATGCCCAAAGCTCCCAAGTTCCTGCCTTTGTGGATTATCCCCTCCACTGTCCCATGTATGTCTCCTCTTTCTTTATGTACACATCATTTCTGGTGCCCAATGTGCACAGTACACAGTAGGTGCTTAATAAGTGTTTGTTGAATGACTAAATGAATGAAAAACTAATAGCTTATCATGAGCTCAGCTTATCAAGTCTTGCTGAGGACCTACTGATATAGGCAGCTGTTTTAGAGAGTGAGGCCCAGGGTCAGGTCAGGTGCCTGGCTTATCCCGAGTCACCTAAGAAACAGTTAGATGCAACCATTGTCTTACATTCCTGAAACAAGAGGAGCTGTCTCTTGGCTGAAGCATGTGGGCAGAATATATACGTTTAGCTGCAAAGGAAATGAAATTAAGTAGCACAAATTCCCGACAGCAGATTCAGAGGTGTAACAGGGGACATTCAATAGCTTTCAGCTGGTGGAACACGGGACCAGCACCAGAGAACCTACCGACACAGGTCATCTTCTAGAGTGTTCCAGGCTGAGGACCAGAATTACCTGACGGAATCTGTGGTCCACCTAAAGCAGCGATCCTCACAGTGAACAGATTTAGCAACCCCGGGTGGGCGGCTAGCTCTGAGCCGCTGACATGTGTGACGTGGGGTACACGTGACGTGGGTACACGTGATGGAATGCTCTCTGCTGGCTCCATCAGAGATGGCCTGCGTAAGCACGGGCTAACCTGCGGTGCACTGACTCGGGCCAGTGCTGTCCCCACTGCATACTCCCAGAAACTGAAGCTTAGACAGGCTGAGCATCCAGGTGAACTGATCCAGTCACTGGGTGACGGAGGTGGGACTCAGGTCCTGACAACTCATTCCAGGAGCTCTGTTCCTAGCCAGACTGTGCAAGACTGCGCCTCTGCTGAAGGGTGTGGTCAGAAAGCAAAGCCTTAAAGCAGCAGCCAGTGCACGTGCAGCCGCTTCGGCCTGCCCTCTGCCGTCCTGGAACCTCGGGGAAACAGGATAACTCCTGGGCGCTCCAGGTTTCTCTGTTGCACCGTTTATCTTTGTGATCCTCGTCTAAAGCACAGCATTGAGTCCCCGATTTACACTCAGTAAATATCTGATGCATTTAAGACAACTGGATTCCATGATTGTGACAAATGCTATGAGATGAAAGCCAAGAACTTGACTTAATCCGGGAGCGGGCACCACCCGGCCTGCATGTAAAGCTTGTGCAATCCTTTGCTCTGGCCCTCCCAAGGTGTCCACAGATGGGACTCAAAATTCAGTAAATCCGTAGCAGGCTCATTTTTAAACTGATCATTTTGATGGTCCACAAACAATGTTATAAATATCTGGCCCTTGGCAGGAAAAAACGTTCCCCACTCCCAGTATTAATCAAGCTCTCTGTGCTACACCACCCACACGGAGGCCGGTTGAAAACCAGGGCTTTGCTCTCCAAGGGGAGGCTGTGGCCAAGGAGCTGTAGGGGAAGCCCATGATGGCTGCCTGCGAGACTGCGGGTCGGGCAAACCTGGAAGGGTCTGGGGTCCCGGTGAAGTAATGGATGCACGGCAGGCTCCTGTTCTGAGGCAGGACAGACGCTACACTGGCCGTGGTGAGGAAGGATTCCGAGTCTATGCAGACCCCACTGGCTTTGTCCCGTAAGACATCGATCATAGTCTGCACAGTGATGCTTTCTGTGAAAGAGAGAGAGAGAAAGGTAAAGAGAGAGAACAACCAAGCTACCAACCAAATCCATTCTAACAACCAAGCTACCAACCAAATCCATTCTAACAACCAAGCTACCAACCAAATCCATCCCCTGACTTTACATCAAGCAACAGAACGATCCAATGATAGAATATATTTCCCAGCTTCCCTTGTGCCGAGCTGTGGTCATGTGGTAAATTCTGACCAATCAGAGGCGAGCAGACATGGGATGTAGAAGTTCCTGGTGATGCCATGAAAAGGAACTCTGTCCTTTGCTTCCCTCTTCCCCCTTCCTGCTGGCTGGGAGAAGTTTTCCACAAATGGAAGTCAATGTCGAAGCAGAGTAACCCATTAGCTCAACATAACACGAGAGAGAAGGGAACGTGCACTGTCTCTAAGCCACGTTAGTGTGGGGTCTCTTCGTCAGTGCAGGTACTCAGCAGGCAGCCATGAGAAAGCAGGAGCTGGCTGTGCACGGTGCCCAGGCTCACGCTCCCACGCTGTCACTGGGCACGCTCAGTGCTGCACTTGGAGAATGACCTCCTTGCCATGAACACTCAGAATGCTCAGAGCCATCAGCATGACTGGCTCCAGCTCCAGAGAAACAGGAAAACGGGGCCCACAGCTCTCCACACTACACACTCCCCTCCGCTGTAAGCCATTAGAACACTATCTCAATCCCCATTCAAAGACGGACACTGGGCATCACACAGGAGAAGGTGTGCTCACACAGCTCACAGCCTCTGCAAAGCTCCACAACATGTCATGCCTGAAACTATTAACACCAAGCCCTTGACTTCTTCAATTACCCCAGGTTCCAATGTCTTGTCCCAGAGGGAAGTTATTGATTTAAATCAGAATCCAATAGACTGGCGATGCCTCTTGAATTTCTTTCAATCTCCCTCTCCTATGTTTCCTTCCTGCATCTGATTTGTCAGAGAAACTGGGTCACCGTCCTGCAGAGTCTCCCGCAGTCTGCACTGGCAGATGGCGTCCTCCAGGTGCCATCTCAAACACTCCTCCACCCTCCGCATTTCCTCTGAGCAAGCACCCACACCTGGCGGTTTCGTCATTTAGTGCTATTGTTTTGGCAAGACTATTTAATAATTTTCATCTGACTTTAGTTTTTTTTATTAAAAACCATTAAGAGTTTCCCATCTGAAAATTAATACTTTCTCACCATTCTACCCAAAACATAGTATTTGAATCCTACAGAAAAAGTCCCAAAGTGTTCTTGTAGATAAAGGTCAGGAAATTGTTTCTTAACGAACCAGACAGTAAATGTTCCAGGCTTATGGGTCCCTAAGTCTCCACCGCAACTTCCCCGTGCCAACCGCCCACCTCTGCCATGAAAACACAAAAGCAGCCATAAATACATGAGTAAGTGGAGGTGGCCGTGTTCCAATAAAGTTTTATTTACAACACAGGCAGCTGTCAACAGGTCCCAGCGTGCTGACCTCTGTTGTAAATGGTTGAAAGTCTGACTTCACACACTACACTGGCAAACAGAGTGTGACCATGGTGGGTTTCTTGGAAGGGTTTGCACTCCTACAAAGGTAACACGTCATCCGGGCACCACATTTACCTAACCATGCATTCTGCTCAAGTCCGCCACTGGGTGAGAGAGAGCTTACAAGGAGAATTCAATAATTCAACTCAACCAAGGTCCATGGAACAAAGGACAACACAGGCATCACAGAGGGGACCCAAGGATGAGCTGAAGACAGCGTGCCTGCCCTCAGTGCCCCACGAGCTAACAGAGAAGTCACACACAGAAGCAGGAGCAAAGAAGGCTATACAACGACTTCTGTGTTCAAAGGAGAAACGACACCCACCAGGGCAGGAAACCACCATGGATGAGGAAGCACCGTGTGAAAATAAGCACAAGGTGTCTTCCCGCCTGCAACCAGGGACTCTGGGCATCAGTCGGCGTTCACACCCAAGGTGTACTCTCCCCTCCTCCTTTCTGCTGCCCCTCACAGGTGCAGACAAATCCTCTGAAACCCCTGCCACGTGCAAAGGTATTCGAGACAGAACCGACCCGGCCACGCTAACTCACCTTCTTGTTTGTCTAAGCTGTCTTTGCCCGCACAGCAGTCCAGGTGGTCATCAGCGGGAGAAAACACTTGGGAAAAATTGAACTCGTCCTCGCCGGTCCACCAGCCTTGACTCTGAGCGTAACTCCTGAGCTCAGGGTGCTCTTCATCCACTTTGGTGGTGAGCGACAGCTGGTTGGAAATGCACTTCACCCCCTCTGCACAGAGAACAAAGCCCAGTCAGTTCAAAATACACGCTTATTAACCAATAAATGGAAATGGACAAGGACTCCTTCCCTGGATCTCTGACTTGAACTACAGATTCCATTTTTGGAGAGAGAACACTTGGTCCTTTTGCCAGGACACCTCCTAAGATGCCTGACGTTGGGCGCAGTGGGTTCCGTCACCACGTGGGAGCCTGCGTCCCTTATCTGCGTGCCTGGGATCCAGCTTGCCTCCACTTCCAACCCACTTTCCTGCTCATCACCTCGGGGCAGCACATGATGGCCCAAGTACTTGGTTTCCGGCCACCCACATGGAAGATCCTGCCTTAGCTCAGCTTCAGTAGACATCTAGGGAGAGAACCAGTGGATGGAAGAACTTACTTGCTCACTCTCTCTCTCCCTCCCTGTGTGTGTGTGTGTGTGTGTGTGAGAGAGAGAGAGAGAGAGAGAGACTCTGCCTTTCAAAGCAATACTTTAAAAACAGTCTGTCCTGACTGGGAATTAGCACATTCAAAGTTTTGTTAGTATTTATTGGACAGACAGAGAGAAAACATGCTTCCATCTGCTGGTTCACTCCAGAAATGCCTGCATGAGCCAGAGCTGGACCAGGGAGGTCTGGAGCCCAGAACTCAACCAGAGCAGGGACTCGAGTACTTGAGCTTCACCTGCTGCATTAATGCATCCCAGGGTTCATTAGCAGGAAGCTGGAATTGGAAGTGGAGCTGGGCCTTGAACCCAGGCACCCTGGGGTTGGGATGCAGATGCCAAGTGACATCTTAACCACTGTGCCAAATTATTGCATTTTAAATGGGCAATAGTCACTTTGCTAATCCTAAGTTTGCAATCAAAAGGAAATACAGGAGGCCCATCATACTAGGGAAATAAACCCCAGCATTCACTACTTACAAGATAAGCAAAGGGGTCTTTGAAAAAGGCACTGTGTCAACAAGACTTCGAAATCCACAAGAGCTCCCTCCACAGCAGTGCTCAGAGGCATCTGTGGAGATCCAATCTGACTCCTTTCCAACTGGAAAACCCCTTCATACCACCACGCCCTGCCCAAATTTACACGATTGAAAAAATACCCATACTGTTCCATTCGACTTTTTTTCATTTCTCAACATTTAGAAAAACACAGTGGCGATGACCTGGAATGTCCTGGGGAATACAGGGGTGGGGTAGGGTGTGTGTGTGTGTGTGTGTGTGTGTAGACAGAGAGACAAATCCCTAGGGTGTGTGTGTGAAGAGAGAGAGAGAGAGAAATCTCCAGGATTTTTTTCTCAGAAAAACAGAAGTGCAGCTACATAACCCAGGAGCAGGAACGCCTGCGTCCCGCGCGCACTCCACCTGGATGAACGAGGATTCAGGTCGGGATTTCTGCTCCGCTCACAGCTGGCGTCTTGCTGCGTCTTCTGCAAAGCCAGAGCTTTGAGCACACAGAGGGGGACCCAGCTCGAAGGTGCTGCCGGGGAGCAAACACTAACAAGTCCCCGTAGGAGCTCAAAAGGGCCATTCATGTCAGCTCCTTCCAGGAAGCACCTGGATCGTCCCCATCCTTGAAGGATGACGAGAGAGAGGAAGCCTAAACTACAAGTGCAACCAAGCCATGCCTCGCTCCTAGAGACGGGGTCAGCGCCACACTCGGGACTCCCATAGGAGCTGCTTCACAGACTCTCACTTCCAAAATCTGCCTTCCTGGTCACGGGCATTGGCCCCTTGGCACAGTCTTTTCCAAGGGCATCATGAAATTAAAATGACAAGCAATTAAAAAATAAGCAAGTCTGCCCTAAAGTGATTCTACATCACTCATACTTGGCAATGAAGAAAACAATGACCTCCTGCGAACAACCCCGTAGCAGCTGTTTTCCTAGAGGGCTGACTCAGCACACACTCGCTCCCAGGCATTTTAGATGGGGAAGACAGAGTGTGTTCAATGCCACTGCGATCCATCACACAGCCGTGGGATCAGAGGGTAGGAAATCAAGGAGGCCAAGAAAGCGCTGGGGGCGGGAGGGAGGTTATTAAATATTTAGTGAGAGACGGTATTCATTTTGTGGAGATTGATTTTTAAGCTGTGTTGGAAGGGCACGCGGCTTCTGAAATGCAGCTCTCGATCAATAGTCTTAGGTTCTATTTCAAAGCAACGTGACAGCTGCTAGGCATGGACCGCGAGCCCTCTTGCCGGACTTCATCTCAGGAGACTTGTTTTCTTTTTTTTTATTTTTTTTATTTATTTATTTATTTATTTTTTGACAGGCAGAGTGGACAGTGAGAGAGAGAGACAGAGAGAAAGGTCTTCCTTTGCCGTTGGTTCACCCTCCAATAGCCGCCGCGGCCGGCGCGCTGTGGCCGGCGCACCGCGCTGATCCAATGGCAGGAGCCAGGAGCCAGGTGCTTTTCCTGGTCTCCCATGGGGTGCAGGGCCCAAGCACCTGGGCCATCCTCCACTGCACTCCCTGGCCACAGCAGAGAGCTGGCCTGGAAGAGGGGCAACCGGGACAGAATCCGGCGCCCCAACCGGGACTAGAACCCGGTGTGCCGGCGCCGCTAGGCGGAGGATTAGCCTAGTGAGCTGCGGCGCCGGCTAGGAGACTTGTTTTCTAAAGGAGTCTGACGTCTCTTGCTGTGGGTGAGCTGGAGGCCTGGAGGGCCACTCTGGCTATCTTCCTTCTACAAATGCTGCAAGAGCTGGACAGACTGGGCAGGCACATACCCTGGCACTGCACGCCAGGCACACGGGGCGGAGACTGCCAGGACTGTTCTGTGGCTCCTTATGGGCTCTGCTCGCCCATTCTCTGAGAATCAGAAGCAGATGGCTCCTCCTCCGGGCAGACCCGGCCTTTGCACAGATTGTTCAGATAACCACTGTCTAGATTTTTCAGCCTCAGCAGGGTCACTTTGTATATGGTACAGAGAAGCCCTGATCACAGGACAGTGTACAGAAAACAAGAGACTGGATTCCTAATGACTGCAACAGATGTACTTCTAACCCAGGTCGGATTTGGTTCCAATACCCCATGGCAGGGATGGCCAACAAGTTTAATCCCTAACATTGATTATGATTAATGGAAGAGACTGCCTGGTAAAGTTAGTTGAGAAATATACATAGGCCAGCATAGGTTTGATAGGGGAAGAATGCTGTGATCTACTAGTTATGTCTGCCATGGGCATGAGCAGCGAGAATGGCAGGGTACACACCACGCATGTATCATCCCATCAGTCACTTCTGTCTTACAACTCCTTAATCCTCTCAGGAGCCCTGTAACCCATTCTGGGACTGCGCCTTGTCTGGAATATGAGGGTGGCAGATGTGGTGACACAAGACCACCCTCCCCACCCCCAAATATCCCCTTAACCAGAGTTGTCCCAGAAGCAAGGCCCTCCAGGGGCCACAGAGTAGACATTTAATCCTTCTGTGTGGGTCACCGAGTCCTCTGCCCTCCAAGGGACCTTGTCTCACAGAGAAACGGCCTGGTTGGCCCAGAGTCACCCAACAGTCCTCACACAGAACTCAACACCTGTGTTACAGGAACCCCTGAGACACAAAGAGCCACAGGGTTGGGACAACAAAGGGCAGCTCCCCAGGGAAGGGATCTGTTGGCCTATTATGAAGGAAGACTCCCTGTCCCCTGCTGTGAAGACAGCATGGAACAGCGGGGAGCTGTTCTGAGGCCTGCCCAGAGCCTACAGAATGTTGGGCACAAACTTTCCCGGGGCTGACTTCCTTCACCCAGGTCCGGGAGGTGCCAGCTTCTTCTCCGGAAGTGAGAGGTGTGCCTCCACACCAGGCAGGGTCCAGCACAGACAGAGGCAGCAGCAGCAGTAGGCCTGCCCGGGGCCCGACGCTGCGCCCCCGGCCCACACCCAGCCTCACCACCCTTCACCACCCCTCCCACTCACCTGTGACTCTCTCGGCAGCCCAGAACTTCCCAAGGGTCTCGAGCACCCAGGCCTCCTCACGATCCACGATCAGGAACGCGCTCTGGAAGCTGTGGCAGGAGCTGGCATCTTCGTAGTAATTCCCACCCTGGCCGTGCTCTTGCAGCAGGGAGACGATGACATCTAAGGCCTCTTTAGCTGTTGTCCCTCTCTCTAAACCAAGCCTGGAGTCAAGAGATAAATGTCAGCTGATTCACGCCACCACGAGATGTTGGCCCGCGTCGTCAGAGGCTGGGACTGTGAGCACACCACAGGTGCAGGCTGCCACGCAAAGCCACAGACCCCGCTCACGTCCTGGGACATCCCCCTTCCGCACAGGCAGAAGCAGCCAGAGCCAGTGGCTTCTCTCTGAGAAGGAAGCTCTGCATTCCCCCTTCCTCTTCTCTGGCTCTGGCCCTTAGCCAGACTCCTTTTCTGTGGCTTGTGCTTCCCCTACCCCCAGCCTGGACACAAAGAAGCGTCTGCTGGGTGCAGAGCTATCTCTTGTATTCTATCACATGTATTTTGCTTACTTCCATGGCCTGAATGCTTGTGTCCCCCCATAATTCAAGGGCCACAAATCAATCCCCGATGCGATGACATTAGCAAGCAGGGCCAATAGGAGGTGGTGAGAAAGTGTAAGTGGAGCCCTTGTGGCCACCTTAGTGTCCTTATAAGAGACCCCACCTGTGATGCCAGTATCCTGTATGAGCCCCAGCCTGAGTCCGAGCTGCTTCATTTTTTTTTTAAAGATTTATTTATTTATTTATCTGAAAGTCAGAGTTGCAGAGAGAGAGGTCTCCCATCCACTGGTTCACTCCCCAATTGGCTGCAACAGCTGGAGCTGTGCCGATCCAAAGCCAGGAGCTTCGTCTGGGTCTCCCATGAAGGTATAGGGGCCCAGGACTTGGGCCATCTTCCACTGCTTTCCCAAGCCATAGCAGAGAGCTGGATTGGAAGCGGAGCAGCCGGGACTTGAACTGGCGCCCACATGGGATATGGACACTGCAGGCGGCGGCTTTACCTGCTACACCACAGCACCAGCCCCAGCTGCTTCACTCTGATTTAGCTCCCTGCTAATGTACCTGGGAAGGCAGCAGAGGATGGCCCCAGTACTTGGGCCCCTGCCACCCACGTGGGGGACCTGGATGGAGTGTCAGGCTCCTGGCTTTGGCCTGCCCCAGTCCTGGTCATTGCAGCGATTTGGAGACTGAACCAGTGGGAGGAAGACCTATCTGTGTGTGTGTGTGTAACTCTGCCTTTCAAATAAAATAATGATGATGATGATAATGATGAGAGAGGCCCCAGAGAGGTCTCCACATGAGGGCATAGCAAGCAGGCACCAGCTCTGCCCCAGAACGTGAGCCCTCGGCAGACAGCTGCCAGCCTTCGACCTTGGCCTTCCTGGCCTCCAGAACTGCAAGCAGGAAACAGCTGCTGTTTACAAGCTGCCCAGCTTATGATGCTCTATTACAGCAGCCCAATCGCACTGAGAACCTCAGTAATATAAAAGTGGTCTACTGCCAACCTCGTCCTCTACACACAGAACTCACTCTGGGATTCCATCAGGATCGAGCGGCTGGTTAGAACACAACCGATCCCTCTCCTGCATAGTCCTCCTCCCACCTCTCAGCGTATGTCCACTGGGTGGCTTACAGCTTCCGTTATCCTAAAAGGAAACTCATTCCTTCAGAAATGAGATGGCCACCTCTCCCTGGCCTTTCCAATTAACATGCTGCTTATTTATCTATGAGGCAAAGCGAGAGCTCCCACTCATTGGTTCACCCCCCCAAATGCCCACAACAGCCAGGATCAGGTCAGGGCCCAAAGCCAGGAGTCAGGAACTCAATCCAGGCCTCCCACATGCGGGTCAGGAATCCAACTACTTGAACCAGGAGGGTCTGCATTAGCAGGAAGCTGGAGACAGGAGGCAGTGGTAGGTATGGAACCCAGGCACTCCAACATGAGACACACGCATCTATCTATTTATTTATTTATTTATTTTGACAGGCAGAGTTAGACAGTGAGAGAGAGAGACAGAGAGAAAGGTCTTCCTTTTTCCGTTGGTTCATCCCCTATATGGCCACTATGGCCGGCACTGAGCCGATCTGAAGCCAGGAGCCAGGTGCTTCCTCCTGGTCTCCCATGCGGGTACAGGGCCCAAGCACTTGGACCATCCTCCACTACCTTCCCAGGCCACAGCAGAGAGCTGGATCAGAAGTAGAGCAGCTGGATCCCGAACTGGCACCCATGTGGGTGCCGACACCTCAGGGCAGGGCGTTAACCCGTGCACCACAGCGCCGCCGGCCCCTGCAGTGCTTTCTGACTCTGGTTCTCTTCTCACAGGCAGCACAGTCTGAAGAAAAGAGATTTTCTCACTGGCCAAGTAAAACCACACTGCCTGCACCTCAGGCTGAAAGAACAAGGGCAGCCTGTCCAGCATCCCTGCCTCCCGAATACAGCAACGCTGAGCTCGGAGCACATTTACTGTGATCTAAGATCCCTGCTCCGGGCAAATTCAGAAGAACAGTGGAGAGATCTCAGAGAGAGCTGGGCCCGGTGCTCTAACAGAATGCAGCCACTGAGGGCTGATCGTCCCTCCTGCCCAAGGCTCGCTGGGCTCCTGACCTTGTGGACGTGGAAGAGCCCCAGCCTCCAGCCAGAATGCTGGGAGCCGGGAGGCCCTGCTGGACTGAATGTTCCCTTTGTACCCCCAGGGCCATGATGGGGCTAATATCCAAGATGATGGCATCTGAGGGTGGGGGTCCCTGACAGGTCATCAGGCCACAAGGGCAGAGGCCTCATGACGGGGTCAGAGCACTCAGAACAGGGGTGGGGAACCTTTCTTCTGCCAAGGGCCACTGGGATATCTATAACATTCAGAGGCCACACAAAAATGATCAACTTGGGGCTAGCGCTGTGGCGTAGCAGCTTAATGCCCTGGCCTGAAGCGCCAGCATCCCATATGGGTACCAGTTCTAGCCCCGGCTGCTCTCCTTCTGATCCAGCTCTCTGCCATGGCCTGGGAAAGCAGTAGAAGATGGCCCAAGTCCTTGGACCCCTGCACCTGCGTGGGAGACTCTGAAGAAGCTCCTGGCTCCTCGCTTCGGATTGGTGCAGCTCCAGGCATTGCGGCCAATTGGGGAGTGAACCATCAGATGGAAGACCTCTCTCTCTCTCTCTCTCTCTCTCTCTCTGCCTCTCCTCTCTCTGTGTAACTCTTTCGAATAAATAAATAAATATTTTTTAAAAATCAACTTAAAATCAGTGTCCTATAGATTTACTGAATTCCAAGTCTCAACTGTGGTTGCCTTGTCAGAGTTAGAGCAAAAGATTTTGTGGCCCTTCATGGCCTGCAGGCCAGACATTCCCCACACTTGCCTTATAAGACATGAGGGAGCCTGCATAGTGGGGCAATGGGTTAAGCCACCACCTGCAACACCAGCATTACACACGAGCACTATTTGGAATCTCAGATGCTCCAATGCCAGTGCAGCTCCCTGCTAGTGCTTACTATTTAAGCCTCTTGGACTCCCAAGGGGCTTATGTACACCCCCACCCCGGATGCATTTGTGACGGCAGCCAGAACAGACTACATGGGTGCTGAGTGGAGGTGCTACGTGCTGCACTGACTCGGAGGCAGGCTTGCGAAGCTTTCTGACTCATGCGCGTCTCTCAGCGTCTCACTCAGAGGAGGAGAAAGCATGATATAACAGAGACTAGGGTGACCCTCCCCCTGCAGGCCCTGGTATCCGGGGTTCAGCCACCTTCCAGCTCCGGGGCCTTGGGCAAGTCCTTCAGCACCTCTGCTTCTGGCTCCAGATTCTTCTGCTACCAAGTGAAATAGACAGGCCTGCAGCACTGGGCTGCTGTGAGAGTTAAATGGAAGAAGCAGGCCCAGCGTGTCTCCCCGTGGTTCACTGCGCAGGGTCTCCCTGCTGACAGACACTGACTGGGCCTCCCTCCCGAGATACTGGGCAGGAAACTGATGGAGTCTCTGGTGTCACTGTTAAACAGAGGCAGCACAAGTCTGCCCACTGCCCGCAGGAAAAGGAGAAGGCAGTCACACGAAGGGAAGAGGCAGGGAGTGTGGAAGCAGTCAGTGATCGGCTGGGGCGCGCCGACGCCAACCGGGAGAGCAGATGGCTACATTTCAGGAACCCTGAGCCAATTGTTTAAGCGCCGGTAGTTCAACATCTGCCACGGTGGGAGTATTTACACCACGGAAACTGGAAACAGCCACGAATCAGGGCTGCCTCCACCCACCAGGCTGGGCATTAAACATGTGCTGGCGTGCCACTGATGGCCGGGTTCCAAGAGCTTCCTAACTCTCCTCCATGTCGGGCCCAGAGGCCTCAGGAGGACAGACAGACCTGGGAAGACGGAGAGACACCCTGGCATTCAGAAAAGAAATTCCCATGTTTATGTTAGCTCCTGCCAGCTGCCTCTCCTTGGAATGAACCTCATGAAACGAGCAAACATGCGTCTAAGTGCTCGGGTGTCTCCTCCATGGGAGAACGGGGCTGGGCAGCCTCAGCGGGCAGTGGGCCAAAAGCAAGGCAAAGCTCGCCACGTAGCATCAACATGACTGAAAACCCATCTTAGAAACACAGGCAACCGGCATCTATCTTCTGCCTCTATGGGTTGGCCCATGCTATGTATTTCACGTTAGAAGATTCATACAGGGGGGCCAGCACTGTGACATTGCAGGTAAAGCCGCCGCCTGCAGTGATGGGCGCCAGTTCAAGTCCTGGCTGCTCTACTTCCAATCCAGCTCTCTGCTGTGGCCTGGGAAAGCAGTGGAAGATGGCCCAAGTGCTTGGGCCCCTGCACCAGTGTGGGAGACCCAGAAGTTCCTGGATCCTGGCTTCAGATCAGCCCAGCTCCGGCTGTTGCGGTCATCTGGGGACCGAACCAACAGATGAAATATCTCTTTCTCTCTCTCTCTCTCTTTCTCTCTCTCTGCAACTCTGCCTTTCAAATAAATAATCATTTTTTTAAAAAATCATACAGGATGTGATCTTTTGTGTCTGTTTCTTCCACCTAGTGTAATACTTTCAATATCACTTGCAACAGGTATTAACATGCTATCCTTTTTTTACTGCTGAATAATATTTCAACCTCCTCTATTCTTTCTTCCTGTTATTCAAAGTTTACATCAAAACGCATCCATCATTTTTGGGAGGGCTCTGTTACAAAATGCAAGGTTTAAAGCCTATCCCCATTTGCATCCCCTACTTCGGGCAGCTGTGCCCAAGAATGGCCACGTGGTACCTGACCAGGTCCATCCCCAGCAAGGCTTCCCTCTCAGCAGCTGGTTCTCGGGTGCTGACGGCTTCGTTGGCGATGCACACTCCATGTTCATTGGCTCCCATTTCTGCCCCCCAAAGCCAGGCGGGTCTGCTTATCACTATGGCGTGGGTCCTGGGGACTTGGTCGACTGAGATGTACGTGCACTGAAAAACAGAGACAGGAAGAAGGCGCCGTCACCTCTTGGTTTCCACCTTGGGACGCACACGGAACCATCATCTCAGTTACAAACAGAGCCGGAACAAAAAAACCCTTTCAGTATACCCAGATTTACAAGATGCCCAAGGCTCAACGCAGCTCACTGGTCTCCATGGGAGCGGCAGTCTCTCTGGTCCAAGCCAATCCATCCGTAGCGCCCAGGACTCTGGCAGTCGCCTTGAACCAGGTACTCAGCAGGTCATCACCCTCAACATTCTGTGTCCACTCATCTGAACAGGCACGGGCGGCCGCCAGCATTTCAACAGAACTCAGCTAGCTCTTCTCATTTGCAAAAATCCTGATAGATCATTGGCTTGCAAATTTTATTAAAGTTATCCAGCCCCATCTTCAAAAGACATTTTACCTGCAAGCCTAACACAGAAAGCAGACAGAAGGAAAGTGGCTTTGAATAAAGGCGGTCCCTGAGCCCCTTGCAATGATCTCTGGGGCTTACAGAAGCACAATTCGGCAACCTTCATCCAGCTACCTCCCAGGGTCCACATTAACAGGAAGCTTAATCAGAAACAGAAGAGCTGGGACTTGAACCAGACACTCTGATACGGGATGCAGGCATCCTGAGCGATAACTTAACGACCATGCCAAACGCTGCCCCTAATACGGACAGTGACCTACTGCAGGACAACATACACTGCGCTTTCCTGTCTGCCCCATCGGATTCCCACACTAGGCCAGCGAGATGGGCACAGGAGGCGACAGTCACAGAGAAATGTGTCCGAACTGCAGCACGTGCCCCTGGGGGGTGAGTGTCCAATCTTCTCCAGGCTTCTAGGTCTTTCTCTGGAAGATGAGGGAGCTAATTTAGATCAAACTATTTCTTCTGAAGTATTCGTGAGCTCAGAACCCTTCCTTCACACGAACTCCTACACAGCAACACACACACAATGAAAGTAGTCAAAGAGCATCCAGGGACATGGGGGAAGCAGGCAGCACAGGACCAGGGTAGACGCCCATGCACAGCCCTGCGTGCCTCTCTCTCTGTTCTTCTTCCCCACGAGGAGGCCCATGGTGAGGTACTGGGCAGGGCCAGTTGGAAAATCACTCCACCAGACATCGATGGAGCCTCCCGACTCTGCCACGCCATGAGCCCAGGACGGGGTACGGTGGATGCAGGATGCAATTCGGGGCTCTAAATTACACAGCTCCTGAGCTCTCCAGGGAGACTTTCAGCATCTGCAGCCACTGTCTGCACTGCCAACTGGAGCCACTGTCAGCTTAGATTTCTTGTTTCACTCAACACCCAGCTGTATTGACTGAAAGCAGCCCTCTGGGTTGCATTTTTCTGCATTGATTTCTCATAAGCTGCAAAGCTCCGGTGAGTGCTGAAACGCACGCAGCACACGGCCCCGTTGCCCAGGTGACATCAGGTGCGGCTCTGCTCTGGGATGATGTCATTTCCCTTGATAAAGCTTTACAAACCGAAAGCTGAGTAAGCCCGGAGGTGGTCAAGAGACCCCGGAGTTTTTCATGGTAAATCGACAACAAAACACACTCTTGGAGTGTTCTCTCCTATTTGGTGATCAGATTACTTTATTTGTAGAAATGATTCTTGTAGAGCTCAAAGCTGGCCAAAAAGGTAATCAATAGTGCTCTTCTGTGTATTTCTGTCTTAACATTGCACACTTCCACATAAAATATAAGTGCAGACACTGGGCCACGTTTTCCAAAACCCCATCCCCACTGAGCACCAGTGCTGTGGCATAACTGCTAAAGCCACTGCCTGCAGTGCCGGCATCCCATATGGGAACCAGTTCTAGTCCCGGCTCTCTGCTATGGCCTGGGAAAGCAGCAGAGGATGGCCCAAGTCCTTGGGCCCCTGGAAGCCCCGTGGGAGACCTGGGAAAAGCTCCTGGCTCCTGGCTTCGGAATGGCGTAGCTCCAGCCGTTTCAGTCATTTGGGAAGTGAACCAGCAGATAGAAGACCTCTCTCTCCTCTCTTTCTCTCTCTCTAGCTCTACCTCTCTCTATAACTCCATCTTTCAAATAAATAAAATAAATCTTAAAAAAAAATAATGAGTCATAGGAAGGAGTTTCAGCTACTTGGGCTTGGATTTATAGTAAAGTTTTTTTTTTTTTTAATGGCACGAAGAGCAAAAATAGAAAATGGTTTCATTGATTTGTCCTTAAATTCATTTTTACATTATATATTTCCATTTTAGCAACTACTCAGAGAACACCAACCACACTCAAAGCTTTCTGTGCTGCGTGCGGCTGGCAGAAAATCGGTGGGCCCAGTCCCTGTGCTTCCTGCTCAGAAGGAAAGAGAAGGCGCACACACATCACCAGGACCCCCAGGCCAACAGTGTCACCAAGCCTCCCCGCAACCTCAGCAACACTGGGCACGCCTACTTGATACGGAGGGCACCTTCCCTTCCGAACCACTATGTCCTATTCTATTTTCCCATCTTCCCACCCCAGTCCCCTCACCCTTTCAAGATACTACAGAGCTGACTCATTTATTTGGTTTCTTTTAAGGTTTATGTATTCATTTGAAAGGCAGAGTTACAGTGAGAGGCAGAGAGACACAGAGAGAGACAGGCCTTCCATCTGCTAGTTCATTCCCCAAATGGCTTCAATGGCTCAGACTGGGCCAGGCCCAACCAGGAGCCTGGAACTCCATCTGGGTCTCCCACACGAGTACAGGGGCCCAAGTACTTGGAGCATCTTCCACTGCTTTCCCAGGTGCATTAGCTGGGAGTTGCACCGGAAGTGCAGCAGCCAGGACTCGAACCAGCAATCATAAGGGATTAGTGGTGATTTTAAGGGGTGCAGGCATCGCAGGCACTGCTCCACAAGGCCGGCCCCAATGCACACTCTTTATGTGTGCTATCTCCCCAGCTAAAACAGAAGCTCTGTGAGAGAAAGGGTCATTTTTGTCATTTAGGTCACTGGCTTATTCCAAGTGTGGAACATAGCAGGCATCAGTAAATTTTTGGGTGGATGTATGAACAGACAGAAAGACAGATGGTTGCATTACAAAGGTCTGAGGAAGCAAAATCAAGATCCAAAGGAGAAAAGGACCACATCCAGGTGGCCAGAGGCTTTATCAACGGGCAGCAATGGAGTCGCTCCTCCAGAGAGCGAGAGATTCCAGAGCTACGAGCCTAAGAAAAGAGAAATGGGGGTGCCAAAGGTATGTTCCTGGTCCAGGGCACCCCCAGTGTGCACTGTGATGACATGGAGACACTGCACTGTGGAGCCCTGTAAGAACTGACTTATGAAGATGCTGGACATGCATGCACTTTTTTTTTTTAAAGATTTATTATTTATTTGAAAGTGAGAGTTACACAGGGGGGGGGGGGGTGTCTTCCATCTCCTGGTTCACTCCCCAGTTGGCTGCAATGGCCGGAGCATGCATGCACTTTTGAGGCCAAACCCAGAATGGTGAGGAAGTAAAGGGATCTCCAGTGAGGGCCTCAGGAGTCTGTGACAGCCCCCAGTGGCCCTCTGTCAGGGACCCTAGAAGCCTGGGCCCAGCAAGGGCCCTCTTGACACAGCTATGCACACCCCTGCACTGCGCCTTAAATCAGGCTGATCACAACCGACCTGGCAGTGGGGGTGGGGTGAGGAGGGAGAACACACTGGTCCCACATAGCACGCTTATTTAAAATCCCTGTTTGGGAACAAATCTCACAAAACAAGGAACATTCACACCAGACATAATTAGCAAAGCTTCATAAAGTCAGCCAGCTAGAACATGAACTCTACAGGCTGTCTTTTTTAAAACTCACTGAGCTTGGCAATGGCCGCATTACTAAGGAGGCAGAGAATGAGAGGGACCGGAGGTCAGGGAGGAGGAGGTGTCACCAGGGAAAAATACCGAAAAGCACCTGAAGTCTCCTTTCAGCATGGCAAAACCAACTTCGTTCTCCAAGCCAAATTCCTACTACAAAATAAACAAAGTGTTGGCCACTGAAGTGCTGCACCAGGGGCCAGGTGTTTGGCCAAGCGGTTAAGATGCCCGCATCCCACCTCGAGCCTCTGGTGCAATTCCTGGCTCCAAGTCCTAACACCGACTTCCTGCTCATGCAGACCCTGGGAGGCGGCAGTGATGACTCAGCAGCTGGGCTCCTGCCACCCACGTGGGAGACCTGGATTGGGTTCCTGGCTCCGTGGGGAAGTAACCAATGGATGGGAGCTCGTACTCAATCTCTCTCGTTAATTAATCAATTCTTAAAGGTTTTTGAAAGATGGATCCTCCTGGAGAAAGTTCTGGTCTCAGCTTTGGTGGTTTTTTTTATTAAAGATTTATTTTATTTATTTGAAAGAAAGTTACAGAGAGAGGTAGAGACAGAGAGGGGTCTTCCACCTGATGGTTCACTCCCCACATGGCTGCAATGGCCAGAGCTGTGCCGATCCAAAGGCAGGAGCGTCTTCCAGGTCTCCCATGGGTGCAGGGGCCCAAGGACTTGGGCCGTCTTCTACTGCTTTCCCAGGCCATAGCAGAGAGCTGGATCAGAAGAGGAGCAGCTAGGACTAGAACCAGTGCCCATTTGGGATGGCAGTGCTTCAGGGCAGGGCTTTAACCCACTGAGCCACAGCGCCAGCCCCTCAGCTTTGGTTTTAAGCTGTCTGCATGGACTATGGCCAGAGGGGAGCATCTGTGTGGCTACCCCTCGCACTCAGCCTTTCACAAAACCAATCTGCCAAGTGATGGGACTCCCGGCGCCAAAGCCACAGAACAACACGAGGCTGCCCAGAGCAGCCAGCATGGAGAGACACACTGCCCAGTGCCAGCCACGCGCCTTAAAGGAAGTGCCTGCCTTGGGCTTGCCACGCTCTCCGGAGGCTGCCTCTCAGCCAGGCTGAGCGGCAAAGGGGTCCTGGAGACAGAAAGATAAGGCTTCTGCAGAGGCAGCCTTGTGTCATTTTGTGCAGTCCTGTCCGAAATGCAAAGCAAGCTCGGCTTCCTGCCGCTGTCTCCCCCACC